CAGAGCGCGTAAACCAAGTCTTGGAACAGTATTTAAGGTGTACCATCAACTACCAACAAGATGATTGGACAAACCTTCTGCCATTGGCAGAGTTTGCTTATAATAATACGGTACATTCCTCCACGCAACAAACACCTTTCTTTGCCAATTATGGCTATCATCCACGACTTGATACTTTTGATTTTTCAAAAGTTGATAATCCTGCAGCAGAAGATATGGCAAATCGGTTGTCAGAGTTACATGCAATAATGAAGGCGCAATTGAAGAAAGCTCAAGAACGACAAAAGATAAATGCAGATGTATATCGTAAAGAGCAACCACAACTCAACGTGGGTGATAAGGTATGGCTACTTCGTCGCAATATCAAGACCACTCGACCTTGTGACAAATTGGACTATCGTAGGCTTGGCCCCTTTTCTGTTTCTGAACAGATCAACCCAGTTGCATATCGGTTACATCTACCGGAGTCAATGAAGATCCATCCTGTATTCCACGTGTCTCTTCTTGAACCATATAAGACAGTGGATATACCAGGAAGAAGAGAAATGCCACCGCCTCCTATAGAAGTAGATAATAATGAAGAATTTGAGGTGGAAGAGATATTAGACTCAAGGCGGCGCCGAAATAAGCTGGAATATCTTGTTCATTGGTGCGGATATGATATTAGTGAGCGCACATGGGAGCCATCCAGGAATCTAGCAAATGCATCAGCTAAAGTCAAAGTTTTTCATCAACGACATCCATCAAAACCAAGATGAAAACCTCTCTTATAAAAGAGACAAGATTGAGGCAAGATAACATTCAATTTCCTATCCTTGTTTGTAACTTCTTTGCATTTTGTGACGCTAATTAGATGGAGAGCCAACAACCAGCGGATTCAACTCAAGAACCTTCGTTTGCTGACTTACCGGATGAGACATTGCGATTGTCACAACCTTCAAGACGACGCAACCGAGATGAAGACCCTCAAGAACGACATGTTCTTCCTCGAATAGATGGTGAGATACAACGCGTTTGGTATCACGACCTTGGAAGAGATTCTCGATGTTTGGTGATATTATTGGAGATAGGAACGACTCCTGATGGTGTTTCAAATGTATTATTTGAAGGAAGTTATGAAGGCCTCAACAGTGATCAAATAACAGGGTGGTCTTCTCGCCCTGGAATGGGACACTATCGATGGCTAAGAGGACCCATCAACTATCTTCGAAGAGAACAAAGATCAAAGTATGTAGCAAATACAATTCGCCGCATATTAGATTTTCTCAATATATAATCACCGCTCCTCGTGGAACTCGTCCCTAGAAGGGGGGGTAATGTCACGGACATACATATAATTACCTATATGAATAGATAAAAGTATGTAAAAGTAGATAAAAGTAGGTTAATTGTGTAATATCTTCTAGAGAAGCTTCTTAGAAGCTTCATAGACGCTGCTTTGACTTTATAGGAGTCTATAGTTGACTTTTAGGTTAGAAACTTGGTCAACAAGTTAGCCATGTGCCACGCATGTTGGAAGCTTAAAGAACAAGCTAACTACGTGGTCCATCCATAGAAAACTTGCCTTGCAAGCAAAGGCATGTGGCCTAGAAAGTCAACATATATTGGAGGTCTTATAGAACATCGCCACGTGGCTTCTAGTTAGATAGTATATATAGAGGCAAGAGTGAAGCCCTCTTCACTCTTGTCAACTCCTTTCTTGCTTCTAGTCTAGTTTCAAGGGTCTCTAGTTTTCTTGTATTTTGGCAATAGCCATTCCAGTTTCTTTCTTAATATACATATTTCTATTTTGTCCTATTTCTTTTTGAGAAAAGTCTCACTTACTCTTTAGCTTTCATCGAGTTCTTGTCCTTGACACATTGGCAGAGTTTGCTTACAATAATACGGTACATTTTTCTACAAAACAAACACCTTTCTTTGCTAATTATGGTTATCATCTACGACTTGATACTTTTAACTTTTCAAAAGTTGATAATCCTACTGTGAAAGACTTGGCAATTCATTTATCAGAGCTACATGCAACGATGAAGGCGCAGTTAAAAGAGGCTCAAGAACAACAAAAGGTCAATACGGATGTCTATCGAAATGAACAACCACCATTCTTCTTGGGTGATAAGGTATGGCTACTTCATCATAATATCAAGACCACTCATCCTTGTAACAAGTTGGACTATCGAAGGCTTAGACCATTTTCTATTTCTACACAAATCAATCCAATTGCATATCGTTTACATCTACCGGAGTCAATGAAAATCCATCTAGTATTCTACGTGTCTCTTCTTGAACCATACAAGACAATGGACATACCAAGAAGATGACAAGCTCTACCTCCTCCTACAGAAGTGGACAAGAATGAAGAGTTTGAAGTAGAAGAAGTCTTAGATTCAAGGCGGCGCCAAAATAAATTGAAATATCTTGTCCATTGGCACGGATATGATATTAGTGAACGTACATGGGAGCCAATAAAGAATCTTGTAAATGCAGCAAAGGCAGTGGAGGCTTTTCATCGACGACATTCATCAAAATCAAGATAAAAACCTTCTTTATAAAAGAAACAACATCTAGGCAAGATAACATTCTACTTTCAATCCTTGTTCATAGCTTCTTTGTAGTTGTGATGCTCAAGAGATGGAGAACCAACAACCAATGGATTCGACTCAAGAACCTTCATTTGCTGACCTGCTGGATGAGATATTACGATTGTCACAACCTTCAAGATGACGCAATCGAGATGAAGATCTTCAAGAACGACATGTTCTTTGACAAATAAATGGCGAGATACAATACATTTGGTATCACGATTTGAGAAGGGACTCCTAATGTTTGGTGATTTTACTAGAAGTATGAACAACTCCTGATGGTGTTCCAAATATTCTATTTGAAGGAAGTTATGAAGGCCTAAACAATTATCAAATAACTAGGTGGTCTTCCCGCCTTGGTATAGGACACTATTGATGGTTGAGAGGTCCTATCAATCATCTTCAAAGAGAATAAAGATCAGAGTATGTGGCGAATACAATTCGTCACATCATAGATTTCTTCAACATATGATGATTGCTCCTTGTGGAATTCGTCCTTAGAAGGGGGGATAATGTCATGGACATACTCATATAAGCTAGTAATTATATATACGAACAGGTGGAAGTAAATAAAAGTAGATAAAAGTAAGTTAATTCTATAATATTTAATATGAAAGCTTCCTAAAAGCTTCATAGATGCTGCTTTGACTCCATAGGTGACTTTAATTGACTTTTTGGATTAGAAACATGGTCAACAAATTGGCCATGTGCCACACATGTTGTTAGCTTGAAGATCAAGCTAACTATGTGGCCCACATATAGAAAAACTTGCCTTGTAAGTCAAGGCATGTATCTTACAAAGTTAACACATATTGGAGGTCCTATAGAACGTCGCCACGTAGCCCTTAGTTAGATAGCATATATAGAGACAAGAGTGAAACCCTCTTCACTCTTGTCAACTCCTTTCTTGCTTCCAGTCTAGTTTCAAGGGTCTCTAGTTTTCTTGTCTTTTGGCAATAGCCATTCCAGTTTGTCTTTCAATATACATACTTGTTTATTTATATTTTGTTACCTTTCTTTGAGTGAAGGCTCACTTGTCTGAATTGCTTTTTCATTGAGTTCTTGTCCTTGACATAGACTTGGTAAGATTGTTGTTACATTTCTACTTACCTTCCACAGCTAGGTGCTTAATGCATTCTCAAGCAAAAATATATATAATAGAACAATACAATTAATTATTTAATTATTAATGCATAATATGTTATATTTTAGAATGATAAGAATGTATAACATTCTTTGAATAATAAGACTACTATTTGACAATATTTATATAACATATTAATCATTCTAAATTTATTGATTTTATTGATACTTACAACTATATGTTTTTATTTAAATTTGCAATAAAAATTAATTTTAAATTATACAATCCGTGATTGTATTTGGTTTAAACCTATATGGAAACAATACTTCTATCACATGTATTTATGTATACACGTACATATATTGTTAATGCCACCATAGTTTTTGCTATTACAACCACAGTTGCTTGAAAATTTCAATCAAATTTTAGTGTATTTTTTTTTGCTAATTTTACCACAATCATTTCATCATGGTTCAATATATTTATCTATATATTTTATTGGAATTAAAAAAAACCAAAGAAATATGTTGAATAGATATGACAATAGAAAAAAAATGAAGTGTCATAATAATATCTCTACTCTCACAAACACATACTCTCTTTCTCTCTATATATATTTCTCTTCAAAGTATTAATTTTTTTTTCTTTAACAGATTTTTTTATTACATATAATTATATTATTCACACTATTTTAAATTATGTTGTATATTTTTATTATTTTATTATTTTATTGTATATTATACCACATTATTTTAAAATTATGTTGTGTATTTTCAATTTTTTTTGTATGTGAAACCAAATAATCATTATTAAAAATAAAATAAATAGAGCATCGCCATTAGTTTAAAGTCCAAAATCGTACAAAAACATAAAAATATCAGTAATTTCAATGAAGGTAGAGGTTACGAAATTGAAAATGTTAAGGATGAAGCGTCACGTTTTTAGCTCAGGTAGCTTTTTCCCAGATCCACTGACCTTTTTGTAGAGGACCGTTCCCAACGTTCAATCTGTCGGAAAGAACGAAGAGAGCGTCACAGGGAACCATACTAATGTTGGATAGGGGTCGGAAATGGCGACAGGGATCTTCGAAACTTTCCCCGGTCATAGGGTAAAGCAGTAAAAGTAAAATGAACACACTTGGCCCTCTAAGAAAGTAAAAGTGAATGCAACGTCGAAGCGCCCCTTCCCGCAATGATCCCCGCCCAAGTATTCACGATGCAAGCTCGCTACCATCGGGTATTGTTGTTGGTGTGCACAATTGACCACGAGGAGTGGAGTGGGAAATTGAAAGATGGCGTGGATCTCAGATGGGAGTGTAATTCTTGCTCTGTGTGGTGGGGGGAGGGGGGGGGGGGTTGTGTGAGCGAGGCGAGGCGAGGCGAGCGTCAGTGATGACGAATGTTGCAACACTGTTGGAGGTTTGAGAAGGCGGGGCAATTGTGTGAGGAAGGTTTTTCCTCAAGCTATGGAGGGAAGCAGAGTTCCGAGGGAATTGCACGAAGGATCATGTAGTGGGTACTCTGTTTGGCTTTGAGAGTGCACCTGAGATTGGTATAGTGAGACCTTGGTAGTCCGAGGGGAAAGGAATCCTGATGCGGGTGATCAAGCTGGTGTTTCTTGCAGGTGGATTTTCTCATTCGGCTCAGTGTTACCGTCGTCCAATGCGGCTCTCAAAACCTCGCGCGTGTGAACGTCTCATCCAGCTGTAAGTACCTTAGTGGAAAATCTACTGTCCACTTCATGTATTTCTAGTATTCCAAAGAGAAAAATCCTTACATCTGTAGTGTTCCCTATACACTCATCAGAAAAGTTGTTGTAGTATGGATATTTGTTGTTAGTTTGTTCTTCATTGTAACACTGTCTCCTGTTCCACGTGTTGGCCGTACTCCAGCCAGAAGTATCAGTATGAAATGAATATCTATATTGCATATGGGAATCGATTGTGGGAAAAAACTTTGTAATTCTTAAGGAGGGTGAGAATGGAAGTAGAGAGGGCCTTGGTTCCAGACCGCGAATCGACAATGCGAACCATGTGTCGAATCATGTCTTTCAAGCAGCTGATGTTCTAGCCTCATTGGGTCTGGCAAATTCTGCATACCTGACATTTCTTACTTTTGTTCTTTCTATGGTGATGTGATGGATTTCTCAACCGGATTGAAGCTCAGTCATGCATACTTTCTCTTTGCTAAAGCTCTACCCACTGACTCGAATTTTTGCAGTGAAAGTGCTTGTGTAGGTGCGTACTTGTCTATTGAGGTAGTGTAGCAGGGGCGATGTTGTCATTATTAAATAGGAGTTCAAAATATAGCTTTTCAAGTGGAAGAAATAGAGGTGCGGCCTTGGAGGAATCGAGAGAAGAGACACCAGATCGAAAAGTGGGTACGGCTGAGAAACCTAAAAACGGTGATCAAGAGATGAACTGGGATGCGAACGACTTAGAAGCTAAAGGGGCTGTGAGGTTCAACATGTGAGCTTATTTTTTCATATTAAAGCCTCAGAATTTGACACGAGTGGTCCAAGTTGGGGTCTGTCGTTTCTTTGGAGCATCTTCATCTTTGAGATATGGAAATTCTCAAATATATATATATATATATATATATATATATATATTCTGAGCGATGTTTCTGTGCTCAGCCTATCTCTTCTAGTGACATCGGTGGTCCTTTGCTGATGCGCAGGTCTACTTTTTTCAAGGATCTTGTTTACCACATCTTTTATCCTCTCTCGATTCCCCTGATGATGGGGTTGGATGGGGGGATGTATGCGCTCATCAACCGCATGTTTGTACCTGAAAAGATCTCATATTTTGCTATGGCAATTAGTCAATTTGCCATGGGGTGCTGTTGTAAGTGTTACTTATCTAACTGTCTAACCCATCCAGTGTTAAAGCATTTGGATTGCCAGTATTACTTTCGAATTTGTGTCAAGAATTTCAATCTAGCTTCACCATTTAGATTACGGTGTGGCTGAGAATACTGCAAATGTGCGGACATAATCGGCGCCTTGCTGTGTTTCCGTAAATGATTGCTCAGGGTCTCTTTTTTGTGTGATGAGATGATTTCGACCGCTTAGATAACTGCACTATATCCTCATTTTGGCTTGATAAATAACAATCATATATAAAGCCTTTACGCTAATATGCCAGGGTTACTTGGCAATGGTGTCCGCAGTCTACGCTTTCAATGGAGTGAGCTTGTTTGTCATCATCAGAGGAAAGAAATTTGATTTTCTGTACGACATAGCACTCGTGGACGTAATCTGGATCATGCGCAATGCGGTGTGTGCCTAAAACAACAGCCCTTTGCAGATTACGAAATTGGCCCCTTGTTATTAGTGTGCAGGTTACTATGTTGCATAGGGTAACGTTTTTGGTAGACACTCATGCCCTGTGCTATTTTCTTGTTCTACCACGATTCATGCCAGGTGGTAGCGACGAAGTATGCATTTATGTCAGAGGTGGATATGAAAAAAATGAGAACAGAAGTGGTAGACTATTCATTTCAACTGCACCAAACTGTAAGTTCGAAATACTGTGTAATAACAATTACTCTTGATGAAAACGGAAACTCTATGCAGAGTAAAAGCTACATTATCACTGGAATACATAGATTGCACCTCCTCGTCATTCGGGCTTGATGGTTAGGCTGTTGTGGGACGTTAAGTCCTTTTGAGTCGTAGTTTGAATGGAACATCAGTTGTCTGGATAAATTCTCCTCATCCACGGGTGGCAGTGGTACAGAGTCTGTGTCTGCGACTCCAGTCCTTTTGAACTAGTGCAAGGTTCTACTGGTAGCTCCGGGAGTTTGGCTGTCACCTTGAGGTTGTGTTCACTGGTGAACAATACTGGCCCAATTTAATCTCCATTCTGGGGTGAATAGTTGGGTTTGGGTTGGTGTGGGTTGCAGACCAATCTTCATAGGTTGCTTTTCACACTAGTATCTTTAGAAATTAGGAGTTTACGAATCAAAGCTTTCCTTGAGTGCTAAATTTTAGAACAGAAAAGGAGGTTCGGATTCTTTAAAGTTATTGTATCCGAACTTTTATGTTCTTGTGTAATGCGATCATTGTTTAACTAGAAAAATCAGATTACCTGGAAAGTTACAAGGTTATTACAAATATTTTGGTATCTTGTCATTGTGATTGACTTTTTGAACCTATCTCGGCAGTTATTGGGAGGTTGGGCAGATCCTCTACCACGGAAAGTGCTGAAGCAGGAACTCTTGTTGGCTGCAGTCCGCTCTCGAAGCTTTTTGAAGAACCACTGTTTTCAGCTTGACACCAATGTTGATTGTTTTGAGGCAATCAGGGACATGGTATTAGATCTTCACCTGGGTAAAGACCATGGAGCAATTGAGAGGGTAGGGATCTGACCTCAAACAACCTGTATATTTCAAAGATTCTGCTAGAGGTCAGCTGTAGTTTTGTTATTGCTGTGTTGCAGGAGAAGAAAATAGCAGCATACCTTTATAATCTGAGTATGAGAGTTTTGGTTTGCTACTTTGTTGCACCAACTTTTCTACAGACTATTGACACGGTTATTTCAGACATCATTGTATGTTTTATTCTTAGAACCGCTTTTACAAAGCATATGCATTTGTTCTCTCACGAGCGCACAGTGAGACTTGATTGTAAATCTGCGAATTTCGCATGGAGCAAAAGTTAAATGCTTTTGTTTATCGGAGTGCTGTTTGGTTTGAGGTGTCGATTGTGAAGTGGAAATTCCTATAACTGTTTTGCTTGTTAATTGTTTTAGACCGTGTACCAAATGAAAATCATTGGGACATGATGCGTATTAATCAAAAGGATTGAAACATCAATGTATTGTAGGATGTGAACGTCCTGGAGGAAGCCAACAGATGGTTGGAGCTGGGATGGAATGACTGTCTTGAGACGATGGTGAAGGAAAATGAGGTGGGAGAACTACGACCAGCTATGTTACCTATCCGCTTATATGCAGCCCATGTGATCCATCAATCTTCTTCTCTGAGCAGGTAAGTCATCAAGACTACTTCAAAGATTGACTCCCCTTATCTCTTCCCATGCTACATAAACTGCATATCCTTGGAGCTTATTTAAATTTGCATGAACTATGTCTTCTTGGTGTCCAACCTGACTGTTTCTGGAGATGTGTCACGTGCATGTTATGTTTTATTGAGATGCTCCGTAAATAATACGGTCTAGTGCAATTTTATTTATTTATTTATTTATTTTCCGTTGTATGGATCTGCGAACATGCATGCATTTGTAACAATCGTTGTGGGTTTTGGTAAAATCAATGTCTTGTTCTTGTTCTTGTTCTTTTGACTTTTCTTTACTTTTCTTTAAATTTTTACCAGAATGTGGTGTGTTTGTGGTAGATTGCGACGAGTAGGCCATACTCTGTTAAGCCAAAATCTGAGAAAGTCCGCATTTTTTGTGTCCTTGAGCATAACCACGCTTCCCTTTATTCTTCGAGTGCTTCTAGGTACGGACCCTTCTACATGATTTACCTTATGTGAGCCTAGTAACAATGTAGTAATACTACATGAGTTCGATGTTTTGAAGAACTATCACTTAGCGAATGAAATGTGCTCAGTGAAGATGTTGAAACGCGACTGTTTGTAAGCGCTTGAATTTGATTTAAACTTAAGGATGATATGGCTCAGGTTTCAAAGCTATACGTAGGAGATAAGTTGTAAGCGCGTGGGATTCATCTATATCATTGCATATGATTTTGTAGGCTTCTTGTACTATTGTGTTGATTCTTAGTTTTTGGTGACAGGGGGACATGCCTTGCCTGGTCCAACTTGGGCTACTTGGGTCGTTGCCAGCTCTGCTTTTGTAATTTTGTACTTCTCGTTGTATTCGAACATTGCTTTTATGATGGTTGGCGTCCTGGATCTGCGGAGACGCCACTATGTTGCTAGCAATCTGGATGAACTTCTACGCACAGGAGTTTATACTAGAAGTCTGCGTGTCAGGAGCACTACCTATCCACGCTCATTCAGAAGTCAGTCTCTTCAGTGGCTACGGAGTATTAGTAGCCACTCCCGTTCTTCATCCTCTCCGGGTAGTTCTGCAGGTACCTTAGGTAGCGATCGCAGTAATCTTGCAGGACGGGGAATTGTGATTGATTTTCGGAATGTCAAGTCTTTACAAGCTTGGTGGATTACGCGAATTCTGTTACACAACTTTGGTTTGGGCTTCTTCAAGCGAATAAAAGTATGTAATCGAGTCATCATCTATACTGGAATATTACCTTACTTTACTGTGCTTCTTAAGTTGGGGAAGTTATACATTAAGCAGGTGGAAGATTTGGGGAAAATTACGTTTGTAGAATACTTTAGTAAATGTTCAACTTTTAGTACGAGTCTTTGATTCGCCTCTATGGTTACGTTGAAGATACTATGGCAATGTTTTTGGAAATTATTTTCGTCTAAGTCATCACTTGTTTTGTTTGTAGAATAACATACTGATCCCACCGTGATTGTGCAGTACTACACTACTTACTTCGCATGCTACTGTGGAGTTTTGATCATCCTTATCGGTTTGAGACTGTTGAAGGGTATTATGAAAGAAGACATCTACATTCTGTAAGTCTTATCTTTTGTTTAGTTTGGTTTTGCTATGTTTTGTGCTATTCATATCACATTTTGTTGATGCTTAGACTGTCTGGTATGCAGAGTAAGCGTGGTAGTATGCTTGGATGTTTTCCTTACTCTTTTAGCCCTCATGGTGTGGCCTGGCGGTGATATAAATACAGTGCGTCAAGTTCAGGGTGCTACACTGACTATGAGCAAGGCAAGTTTCACATTTGATTTCAAAGTCATTTATTAGATCAAACGTTTTCCTTCTTTTTTGTCGCTATCTTGTGCTTCATGTGCTAACACAAATGTGGCCTACAGTTTATTTGTAGGTGAGACTAATATGTAAATATTTCCTCGTTTTAGATTCATGATCTTCCACGTGATTTGAATGGAAGGTGTATGCTCATGTTGTCAAGAATGTAGTACAACTATTTCAGTACTAGGATTGTCACAACGAAAAGTGTCTCCTATAAGTCAGAACTTGCGGCTTCTTCACCATGTTTTGTTTGGTGGCTGTGGGATGGACTGTTTTGGGACATTGAGCTTATAGTAGAGGTGATCACTTTCGTAGCATAGTTTCGAAGTACATGAGGGCTCTGGTCTATTCTTAAAACAGTTACTTTGTTGTTTGCATCATTTCCTTATTCGCTTACGTTGAAGACATATATTGAGATATTCATTACATCTGGAAACTCTACTGTCAAGTTGCTCCCTGGAGATGACGGTGAATACCATTTACTGGTGACTATATTAGTATGTATGGTCGTTTTAAAGACAATTCTGTTGTGAAACAGCTAAAACTGCAAAAGAAGATCAGCAAAGATAAAGATAGCATAACTCCTGAGGAGCTACAACATTACTACTCGGTGATGGACACAATTTCCTGCATATGTGAGGCTGTTAAATGGGACAACAACAAACATAAGGTGAGGGTATGAATGGCTGTGCTTTGTTGCAAGCTCACACTACACACATTACCTTATCGAGGACTTTCTTGTCATTTGCAACTGTATTTGCTTTATACTTCATTATTATTTTTAGCCAAGGCACGACAAAACTTACCGCAGAAATTTTGCGGTTGTGCAAACAGTATTCTTTAGGTGCTGGATACCACTCGAATCCACTCATCCTCTTCATACTTGTGCATCCTGTGTGAAAGCTCTTACTACTTCTGCGAACCATATATTACAGGGAAGAGGTCCTTCCCTGATGGTTGGTAAAAAGTTTTAATTGATGGGTACGTTCTGGGCTAAGAGACCTAACGGTATGTCTATGCAGATCTCTGTGTGCGGGTTTCAAGCTGGTGAGCAGCTGCTGAGTTTGATAGTGGCAATGCTAACAGCTTCCGTGGCCATCGGCGCGGGTCAAATTGTATCAAATGTGGTTAGCAGTTCATAATTTTACATAGGAGCACTGATTATCATTGTCTGCACTGAGTCATGAGTGGAGGACTTTTACATGTTGAAGAAAGGGTGATATTTTACATATTAAACGGTGAATCTCGCACTTCTGTTAGGGCCCCCTTTCCCTCCTTGATGTTCCCTCAACGGTACATAGCACGTTTCAGGTGCAATCATTGTTGCTAGTAGATGTAAGCACTAGTTGCAATTGATGAGGCACTCGATGCAGGCACAATACGCAGGCTTCCAAAGCAGGGCAACTGGTTTAGAATCAGTTGGATCAAATGCCACAACGGTACGAAATGTTTACAATGTTGCAACGAAGGTGTATGGGGAAGAAGCAGTACCTAATCTCCAACCCCGTGGGGATTTACAAGATCTATTCAAAATATGTTGATTCCAAAAGTTGAGAGGCACTGCAATACCTATCTGCACTACGGTCGCTTTCAGTGAAGGGCTCAAAGTTCTTGTTCAATAATGATTTTGCTTTCTATTGAATAGCTTGTTAACGCCTTTTATCACACGGCCTGAAACCCTTCATACCGACACTAGTGTACAAAAGTGCTTCGGCAGATGAACCCATAGCGAATCAGATATAATCCACAAGATATGGCTTGGCTTGAAGTTGCTGTTCAGAAACTCTCTCCTCATCGGCTTGATTGGCATTTCGCAAAGCTATCCATGTCATCCCAGGAAACCAATGTTATGACAATATAGCAGAGAGAATTTCATGACTGTTGCTGATGTTCGTTCAACACGGAACAGTGAGCTGCGTGGCTCCTCACTAGTAAACAAGTACCGAAATAAATCAAAATAAACAACAAAACCAGTAACTACAATCGTGACTGACACCAAACATCCGCAGATAATGACCAAGTGAAGTTTGAGATCCCTTGGTTGATCCTTAACTTAACCCTAAACCCTGTATGATATCGTCACAAAATTTGCAGACTGCGCCGAGAGATGGTACTCCTCTTGATACCTCGAGGCGTCTACTCGACCGCTGCTCGAAGGTCAAAGGTAAGAGCTACGAGCAATATATGAGAACGAGAATTGCCAAGAGGTTCCAAATTCATGGGTCTCCACTCTGGTAGATCTGTTGTGAAGTCGAAGACAAATGCAGCAACAGACCTTGTGTGAAAGATAAGAGAATTCCTATATCCAAGAACATCCCAGTTGGAGTGAACAAAGAGCTGGGATTGATCAGGAAGCTCAATCTCGCTGACTGAAATTCCCAGAACCATAGTTGTGTGAAGATTCACTTCGGAGATGGTCACGTACAGATTGTGCTCGTTTTGGTGGAAGTAAGATACGCAAAACAAACGGTCGTTGCTCACCACAAGTTTGGCTCGGGAGTTGGAAGTGCAGGGCACCACCACTCCAGTGTCCACCCACGCATCGTGATCAGTGTCGTAAGACATTAGAACAAGCTCGTGGGAACCTTCCAAATACAAGGCATAGTAGATGCCTTTGCAGAAGGCACCCGAAATGGAGTCGTGGGGGAAGCGTGTACATTTGGGGACCACCTTCCAAGAAGCAGAAACGGAGTCATACGTGTAGAGTCTCTGCTCAAACTTATTCCCCACTTTGCCGTGTTTCGTTGCAAACACTCTATAATGGCCGTAGTTCTCCACGCGGATGGACAGTCCCAGACACATTCCCCAGGTGTTACCTTCGATGAGAGGAAGCAAATTGCAAGCCCTAGTTAAAGGATTACAGACAAAAATAGCATCTTGCTCAGATTCGTGTATTCTAACGCAGACGCAGAGAAGTCCACCGTCTGAGCTTGCTCCTCTGAATTCACTACTTCCCCAAGGATCATCGTCGTTAACCCACCGCTCGAACGTAAACCGCTCAAACCTAGATTCCAGAAATCCCAGGTCTATCCAACTCAAGCTCTTCGCTATGGGATTATAAATAGGACAAGTTTGAAGTAACCCTATGGGTTGTATGCCAAGAAGGTACGAATGCTTCGACTGAGGGTGAGTGACAGATCTGCAAAACTCGGGTGACAACGGCAATGCACGCCAATGCTTGCACACAGCTCGGAATCTGTAAAGCACTTCAAGCGGGAGTCGTTGCAGAACTAGCTCACGAATATCCGCAGGCATTCTGCTCCACAAACTCTCCTCCAATTCTTCCGTCATGTCTCCCAATCCTCGCAACCACGAATACGGCCCAACAACTCTCACAATAACAATCCCAAACAGCAGCAGCAGCAACAGCTACAGCAGCAATCACAATCCCTTGATCCTTCGCGACTTGAGAGATTCTGAAAATGCTCAATGGTGATATACTGTGACCATGCTACTGCACGTCTATGGAAAATGTCGCGCACGTAGACATGCGAAGGTGCGCAGTTGCAAGACGAGACGAAGACGTAGAAGCATCTCGGCTGGGTCCGGACTGCGGTCGCCAACAGCCTCGAAGAACGCTTCGGACCTTTTAAAACACAGTGCGAGCTCTGGGGGCATTCCTCGGCGAATCCTCCACGACGACTGACTGACTGACTGACATTAGACTTGGAATAATACCCATCTAGGGTTTACCATGGGTTTCATGCTCAACGCAGAATTTTCTTCACGCCCCCCTTTGAACCCGATTTCGCACAACAATAACAACAGGTACCCAGCTCGAACTCTGACCTATCTACTTCATCCATCTTTTATTCATCCATTCGTGTCTAATCAATTAGGGTTTTAACAAAATAATAAATAATAAATAATAAAATAACACAAAATCATTCATGAACAGTGAAAAAGACTGAAGGGTCAAAAGTTTATTAAAATGTTGTGATTCAATAAGCCATTTGGATTTTCTGTTCATCCAGACCAGGTACCACTATTCCGCTATGGACCCTTCGTACGAGGGCTACAACGAACGAACGCACGAGCGAACGACTGATAAAAATGAACGAATAGTTGCGCAAAAAAATAAATGCAAGAACGAACGAGGCTGTCGCTGCATTGAATGAGTGAAACCCTTTCACATGAGAGGTCCAATGCAATGCCACGAAGAGCTCCTGACGATTAATGGGTATCGTCGTCCATGGCGTTTTTCTCAGATTGAAGAGACATTTTTGTTGCGTACATCTGGCTTGTGTTCATGAGCTCTAACGGTTTTGAACTGATGCACACTCCCTCTCAATAAGTTGGAATCACGTTCACTATGGTGTTGTGTGTAGATTGCTCATGACTGCAAACAAACCATATTCCGTGACAATTTGGGGAAGAGCATCTGAAAAAGTCATGGCTCTGTTTGATCAGTAGAGCATGTGCGTGGCCTCCATGGATCCCCAACAATGGTATGATTCTTCGTGAGTCTTCCTAGTTCCCCCTCACGGTCTTTTACACTGTGTGGACCATCCTTTAAGGATATGATAGAATGTGTTGAATGAACATGCGAATCTAGTAAGTCCCATCGAATTCCTGCACACAACGTTATGCATTAACCCAACGTCCTCAATTCGTCCCCTCTTCGGCCGTTACCAGATCGCTGAAGTTTACGGCAATACGGATTCAGAAGCGAAAGATTTCCCGCACGTTCTCATGTTGCTGCCTCACATGCGATTGACGCTTTCGTGGCTAGCATATTGATGCAGTTATTCGTGATAATTCGAGAACGAAGCAGTTCATCGCTGTGCAGAAGCTTTTGGAGCGGATTTTGGTGTTTTCCCATTGGGATTAGGCTCCAGTGTTGCAGGCACCTTTGAAATGTCTAGAAGCGGAGATGGTGAGGATCTGTAAATCTTTGAATTCTTTGGGTGGTTGAATTGGTTGCCGTACCTAAGGTTTACAATCCAGTCATCATGAGATTGGAGGCTTTCTTTGCCAACGCTTATCCAATTGGTGCTGGTGGTTGCAAGAATTTTTCAACATTTCTGCATGCAATGATTCATGGATCCTTGGGCAGATGCTGAAATCAGCGATGAAGAAGGCGATGATATTCTTTCGACGTTCAGGTCGATGCCACCGGTTAGTCCTTGCAACTCACATTCGAATTAAAAATCGTAAGAGGTGAAAGTTCGTATAGAACGATATAGGATAGGTGGCCTAGTTTGTCACGTACCCTCTGCTGAACGATTCACAAATTGGAGACGGTTTCTCCTGCACAATATTATGACGTGTCTCTCAATTTGAAGAAACGTTTTCGTTTGGACCTGGCGCATCACCTAGAATGGAGATTTAGGTTGCAGCAACGATCTTTTACAGAATTGTAATGATTGATCGCCCTGTGATAGGGTTACATTTTCTTCAGGCTTTAGGGGTTCGTAAACGTTGGGATTGCTTCAAAATGGCAATGCGAGTAAAAACATTGTATTTGTTGACAGGGGGAAGAGTTGCCCGCGGTGAATAATTGGCGAGGTCTGGCACATTATCGCACATGGAGTCGTCGCCGAGTGTTCCAGAAGAGGTAAGCTTACAATCGTAGATACCCCAGCTACCGATCTGACTCAGTTTGCATGCAGAGAATGTTATTGATGGAATGCGGAATAATCATTACACACTAAACTATTAACAACTATTCTCCTGCTCACATGGCACTCTCCGGTTAACTTTGTCAAGTCCTGACAAACGAATTCAAAGTGAGTTGTATCTTCTGGAAGAGACAATCACGGATCTGGAGCCCATTGCTTCCCTACCTCATTCAGTACGCCTCGAGGCAAGTTCAACTCCTCAACACCGTATCTCGCTTCTCAATCTTCACTTCTGTTGATTGGTTTAACAACAATTATAACTAGGGTTGGATAATCCTTTTCTTACGCCTAAAGTGATCATACTTTCTATTGCCAGATTTGCAGATGCTTGAGCTATCAAAAGTTTGAACCAAATACTATATGTACATTTCCTTCCCCCTTTGGATCAAAATTTTGCATATGTTCACTCAAATTTATTTAATTCAGTCAACAATGTTAGCTCTTGTATACTTGAATAAAACTTCGACATAGAAAGTACTCGCATATGGAGAGCCTTTGTAACTTATTGATGCTTCGGTATGACAGAAAGTTAGCTCTTTGTTCATTTATCGAATCCGCACTCAAATTTTGTTGTGAAACAGATGGATCTTTCTAAGAATCAGTTTTCAAGAGCTATAATGCATACACTTTTTCATTGAAGACAAATTCCTGCTTGAATATACCGTGATTCTGTTTGACTATGCATGTTATATAAATTAAAACCTGACAATTGGAGTTGCAGTGTGCACAGAAGGAGATGTTGCCAACACATTATTCATCGTGTTTACTGGGTCAGTCAAGGTGCATTGTTGATGCAAAAATCCAGGTCTTCAATTACACGCCAGTCATAGTATAAATTTTACAATGCTGTGATTCTCGATTTCGTTACTCCGGTCGAGCTTTTCTTTTTACTGTAATCCTTATCTTCATGGTTGCCGTGAGAAACGCAGGCCACTAAACGTATTCCAGGGCAGCAGGAGGATAATGTTGTCACGTATGCTCCAGGTCATTGGTTTGGTGAAACAGTTTTTGAGAAGAATAAAATGATATGGTAAGTTGCATTTGAAATCTGCTTAATCTGGTTGAATTCTTTGCCCTTGACGTTCTGTAATCCCCTCTTACTTTCTGCTGTGAGGATTAGCAGTCTACTGTAGATCAGATATTATTTGCACCTTCAGCTTGATATTGGCCTGTACTTTGTACTGACTTCAAGAGCCTTTTATGCAGGGAGTGGACATTCAGTACTGTAGAAAGGGTAATTAGCCCCGTATAACCTTGAACTGCTTTTGTTAAGATTCTAAACTGATCCATTTCTTAAGATTCTTAATTTTAGGAGGTCACTGCAAATCGTTGAGTCGATAGGAGATGGCATTTCACCCTGAGACTTCACTCAACAAACGGCTTAAATCAGCACTTCATGAACAGCACACTACTACATTGTGTACTGCAGAGTGAAATACTCACTTTAACGAAAAAGGAGTACGATCACATACTTAAGATTCCAGGCACGGATCAATTGAAGACTCATCTGAATTTTCTAAAGGTTTGTAAGAGCAATGGTCCCTCACTTAACTAGTCCTTCCATCTCCATCTGCTGTCGAACTATCAACTCATCCATCCTACGCTTAATTAAGTATTTTGCATTAGAACTACGTATTGCTATAGGATTGGAGTTCATGAGTTTGATACCGATGTCAGTGACCTATCCAAAACATTTCAAGAACCTTCGAGTTTGCGTAAGTACATGGTGTTTCTATATGCAAGTTCTGAACATGTTCTAAATGCTCCTAGCTGTCAGTGCATGATGCAGGAAATTCCTGCACTTAAAGAAGTTTCAAAACAAAGTTTGAGGCGCCTCGCCAACATTCTAACTGTTCGAACTTTCAGCAAGAACAGAGGTACAATAACTCGCCTCTATACTTGAATTTAATCTATTGGGACACCAACGGCGGTTTCTTTCACGTGTGGGTTCCATGTACGAAGATCCTTTTAGATATGAGCAAGCATGCAAATCATCTGAAAAGTTCGGCGTATACAAATGCCATTTCCTCCGAGTATGATACAAGTTGTGTTATGCAAATCTCCCTTTTTTACAGTAATCACATTTCAAGGTGATGACGCCGCTGAGATGTTCTTCATCAGGACTGGAGAGTGTCGAGTAAGTCTTTCAGCTTCCAAAATCTTGCTAAATATTTGGTCCCTTTTTGTGATTTAATAGCTTACTTAAAGTGCAGCATTTGTTGACAGCAAAATGGACTTTCACACCAGACTGACGATTGAGAAATTACATCTCACTGCTTAACCTGCACCACCAAAGAAATAGGCATGTGAAACTAGTCATGTTGCCTCCCAAAGAAGGTGGAGGACAAGCATGGGATTGCGCTGCTTCTTCTTTTTTATTATCTTTAACTTGCAGGTGGTTATGGAGATTCATCCAAAAAGTCGCACCCCATCACTACCCAGAGCATCATCATCTGCAACACAGTACTGGTATACCGCCTTGCATTCATCAAATTGCTGCTACACAATTGTTACAGGATGCTGGTATTAGAACTTCTTCTGGCAGTTCATTGACCTTGTCCCTGCAATTGATACTTGGTTAATCGTTGTTGTCTTCTCTCAAATTCTTTGAATGATTAGCAGAATCTTATCAGATTTTGAATTAGTTCAGATTAAGGCATGACATTTTGCGTCTGAAAGGTTTCAAAACTTGCAGGCCTAGTTGTCATGAAAGGTGCAAACAAGAGATACGTGACCGAGAGAAAGAATGGTGGCGGCCATCACCGGTGTCAAGATCATCTACACGGGGAAGTCGCGTAACAAGCCGATGTCACTCGCAACAAGCCCAGTCCGTTCTTCCTGAGTTACCCAAAGAGACATTAAGCCGTCCTGACGTAATCTACCGAATGCTGACTCACAAGAAAGCAGCACTGTCCAAGCAGGCGCTAGAACAGAGGAAAGGAAATGAAACTGAGGTGTCAGGTGCCAAGAGACCCTACACGTCACCTGCGCCTCAGAGCAACTTAAAACGTGCAATCAAAAAGAAGCCTTCGATTGTGGCTGCGGATGAGGGAGATTCCTTGACCCCATGGCGGGTATCTCCGGACGAGCAGCCTTACACAAGGTCCACCACTAGAGCCAGTAACCGCTCCTCTCAAGGGTATCATGCTTCCTTTGCTGACAGCACCCCAAAACCTGCCTCTCGGTCGGAATCTCGGTCCAAATCTGATTCCATTTCTGAGCCAGTTATTATGGCTAGCACTGCTCGGTTCAAATCCCCATCAGCAATGGAAGGTCGCAAGAGGAAGCTTTACACTTCGAAAATAAAACCATCAGTCATGAAAAAGTATACTTTCTCAACTTTTGTGAGAGATTGTGTAGAGAAAAATAAGTCACGAAACAAAGAAGATCTTGAGTTTTCAGAGAAGGAGAACAAGCTATGGCAAATGGGACTCACTACTCTTGGAACGATGCCGGCTGTGTTTATGACTAATGAGAACCTGTACTACCAGAAGAAGTTCACGAGGTGGGCTCGAAATGTGATGGATCGGGAGAGAAAACTGCTGTCTGATAATATGCTTGAAGAGACGCCCACACCCTGCTTCATGCCAGAGTTACCCCAGGCCGGAGTTCTGAAAACGGAGCAAAGTAAACTAAGTACGCCACAGTTTAAGCAAGCAACATTTGATGATGCTGCATCCAAGACAACTATGTCCGCCACTGGTTCCTCACAATCCTGTGTGTGTAATTGATGCCATACTTTCTTCCTTGCAACCTCAGAAGTTCACCATTCATTCACAATTTTAGATGTCGTACTGATATCAAGCCTTACACTAATTATTAATTTTGATCTCAGATGAGCACCATTCTTGACATCGGAGCACTTATAGATGGTCAATACTTTGGAGAGGTAACCAAGTCTTCTTACGAGCACTACTGTCTTGAAATTCGTAAAAAATTCTTCAGTAGACGATTCGTGAGACTAATTGTCCACTTCGATAAGGCCTTGCCGTTAGGAAAATGGTTAATTATCTTGGACTGGCTCAGTGAATGTTTACAGGGGAGTTTGTTGATGGAATCGAAACGAGCAGCAAGTGTTGTAGCTGTGTCACTGGTAGAGACATTGGTTCTCAATAAATGGGATTTTCATCGACATTGCGACAAAGACGTCATCAAGGCTCTCGCTAAGCACGTGCGCTTCTAAACCATGCTGCAAGTATTCTATAGTCATGTCAATGGTGAATCTCCAATTTTGGGTTCTTCCAAAGAAAGAAATAAAATAGAGAGGTACAATCATTTTCAAATATAAAAATATGAAGTTCTTAATTATCAGACTACATGTTAATAACTGGTGAACCATGGGGAGCGACGCACAGGAATACAAGAGAGAGGAGGAATTCTACAACTTTTATATGAAAACACGCAAGTGGGAGATGTTCAAGGTTCTTGTCTTTCTGTCACAGTTACAACCCCATGATAATTATTTTCAACGCTTTCCAACTTCGATTATAACTCTATAGCTTCACTTATTCGCATTAAAAACCCTATTTTTCCAGAAACAAGTGGTGGAGGATATCTGCAATGCTAAAAGTGCTCGAAAACCATCAAGGGGGAGACCTACTGGTGTGTTAACAAAACCAGATGGCCGTAGCATCGAGTTACCTCTAAAAGAGTGGGCTTACTAGAAGACAGCATTCAGGCAGAAACAATTTTGTAGGGTCATTTAGGAACAAATACAAACCGAGTGAAAGTCAATGCTAAATCAACATTGTCTTTTCTCCGGTAAATTTATTCCAATTTTTACCAGAGTTCTACAACACAAAGAGGACGATGAAGTAATAATTATTCAATTAATGATAACAATATCCTCAAAATCTTACTCTAAAGTAAATTCAATTTGACCCTTATTACATCTTCGAGTTAGAGCAAAATATTTTAGATGAGAATAAATCTGAATTAAAAAATCTACACAAACTGTAATTTTAAAATCACGTACGTGCATGTATGAGAAGTAAAGTCACTTCTCTACTAAATATAATCTCATAGATGACATGGATTGAGGAGAAGAATTGCATTTATAAGCAAACCATTCCATGTGAACATGAAACCTATCCCCTCATTAAAACGTAAGAGATTTTCATTTATTTTGAAATTGAATTGTGCTTTGAATGAATCGATAGACAAGAACAAACAGTTTCGGAACCAAACAAGCATTGTAAAATGAAAATGTAATGTTGTGACTAAGGACATTATTTAGAAAATGAAACACTCTCTCAACACATCATCGAATGATAATAACATGAGTTTTGCAAAACCCACACATGATTTCCATCTGGAAAACTCGACCCAACTTCCGTTTTCGGCATCTGAACTAAAGTTCAAGAAATATACTGTAAGAAATGATACATGTTCACAAAATAGTGAATAATTTTCTTCGCACCCGACCAAATCTTACCTTGCCGACTAATTCGGATGGAGCTGGGCAGAGCGGCAGAATCCACCTCGCACTCATATGGATTAAGGCACCAAGGTTGACCATGTTGTGAATGCAACCCAACATCCAAAAACGAGTGACAGAAAACCCTTATTCCTGTAGCAGCTCAAAACTCGGCCAAAACTCTAGTCTTTTAAAACTGAAGTTCAAATACCAACCTCAAGTGTTTCATTTTGCGAACCAGTCCTAAGCTTCAAACATCCCGTTTCCAAGCTTTGGAGGCTCCACGTCCACTCACCCCCAACTTTTAAATAAGAACAATTAATCCAAAAATTGCACCTCCATCACTGTGGTCGCATTTCACGCATTTCATGGTCAACGTTAGCTGTAAAAACCCTTGACAAGCTATCATTCAGGCTAATTACCAAGAATCGAGTGGTTTACAGCTGAATAGATAAATTTTAAAATTTGGAAGTTCCAGTAATCACGATGACCCTCAAGTTATTCGCCTTTCACAGAGCAGTTGCTTGAGTGCGCGCATGTAGAGGCCATTCCAAGTAAGTTAAACCAATCTTCCCAATGTTCTGCTCCAGCTATGCCCTGAGTTGGGGCTATATATTACGGGACCTGGCAATCATCTAATGTACACACAGGGAATTAAAAAAGATGGAGAGCATTGTGGGGAAGAGAGGGCTCTTAGTAGCAAGGCAATGAGCATAATGCGATCTTGCGCTCAAACACAGTTGGACGATGACAATCCTGTAATTTCGAAATACGAATAGAAATGACTTCTACTGCATTCCAAATTCAAGTCGAAAGTCGCCTTTCATTGCCAGCAACATAATCTACTAGAACTACATTGAACCGTAAAAAGTGAAAGGTCTTCGGAAAACCAACGAGCTCCTCCCTCAGCTCAAAACAGATCTCCTCAGAACACAAAAAAGATGTGAACTCGGACTCACCGCTTTCTCTCAATTTTCCATCGGAACACAGGCTTATCTGAAGGATTTTCCATTTCGCTAGGTCGGAGCTTTCTCTTTCTGCCTTTTCCACTCAGCTGCTTCTGTAATTCTACTTCTGCAGCCATGTTCCGCAGATTCGTCGCCCGCTCACTCCGCTGCTGAATCTCCTCGGTTACCTTCTTCCGAATCCTAGGTACATGAAAAGGCTCCGCCGGCCGATTCTCCGCTCTCTCCCGAACACCCTCGACTTCATCACCATCCTCCACATAATAAACATGCTTGTTATCATTAGCGGTTATAGGAAGATGTGAAGATCGCAATCTCTCCACCTTCTTCAGCTCACTCTGCGCCCTGCTAATTAGGTGCCCGACGTCTTGAGTCCTCAGCAACTTCAGCTCCTCTTGCGTGTACACTTTTCCGCCCGATTCATCCCTGTGAATGCCGTTCACCGTCTTGGAGTGGACCATCTTAAAGTAGAACTCATCGGGATTGCGGCTCGCTGCTTTCTCCTTCAACTTCCGGATGTGCTGCTCCTTCTTGTGAAAATCCTTGGCACGCAGCACATAGTCCTTATGCTTCTCCAGCAATCCATAACGGGCTCGGTGGCCCGGCTGCGACCGCTCCTTGTGAGCTCGCCCGCCCGCCGCAGCCTTACTCGCTTTTCGTATGGAAGACATTGTTCCTGTCGAGCAGACCAATTTCTCTAGTGCAAAATGAAAACCCCAACGACCTGCAAATAGCTTCGCAAAACCCTTGACGGTACCATAGACGGGAAGCATAAGCAGGCAAGCAAGTTAAACTGGCCGCACTCCTTGCTTACGGACTCCCAAAACCCTGGCTGGCAGATCGACGGTCAATAATCCATCAAATCCATGGTACCCGCCTAGATTAGATACCGCGTTAGAAGTTTGGACCCTTTAAGATACCCTCCGATATAAAATATCTTCTTCGATTACAATATCCGCAACAGAAGACCCCAGGAAAACAACCCTTATCGATCCATATCTTAACTTTATACCCGCCTAGGTACACGCTCCGTGACCAATTTACACCCGCCTATAACCCGGAATCGGTCTCTCGTTCCATTCGAATCCTTGGCTTGGTCCAACTAGCTGAATTTAGGTTTTTAAAAAGTCGTATTCTACAAGGGATTGAATCTTTCATATCCCTTACTTTGATAGATCTTACAAATAAAAGCCATAAATTCATGAAATTATGAGTGTTATTCTAAAACATTTGAAACAGTCAGAGTGTCTCTATAAATAGGCCTACCTTTTTCTTCTTCTTGTTTCTTTTAATTTAAATGTTTACAGAAGTAAATTTAAAACCACAACATAAATCAGAAAGCTTACAGAGATTCAATGATGTAAATTTATTTTTGAACAATGCATGTAGGATTATTTTTGCTTCTCAAGAAATATAGCTAGATGGTTCAAACACCTGCTGTTAAATAAGTAATGAAAATGGATTACTTGACTTGATACATATGCAGCCTGAGAGGACTTGAGCTTTAAATTTGAGTTACTGCAAACGACATGAGTGTGAAAAATAAGGGATATGGATTTGAAACTAATATGACATGAAAAAAAAATATCACATCAATAATTTTAAATTATCTTAAGCAAGAAAAATAAAACGAACATACATCACATTATGACACCTCAGCTTTCTTTAGACAACAAATTAATGAAACTAGTTTTAAAATACCCTGTCCTATGAAAAAACATTTACCACATTTTTTGTATTCAGATACAGACTTCATCATTACTTTTTATTTTCTACTGAATTTTATGGATTATTTAATTCAAAATCTTAAACTATGTTAATCATTCATAAAAATGATGTTCCTCTTTATTTTTCTTTTGCAAATTACAAATATACTATTAAATCACACTTCTGATATAATTCACAAATAAATCATATCAAAAATATCTACAGGATTCGTTTATCTATTCCATTAGTTCATGCAAGGGCCATTAACTTGAAGCACAAGAATTAGAATGTACCAAGTTCTAATGAAGATGCTTGAATGCAATGAGACCTCCCAGCAAATTCAGGCTGAGCAATATCATTAGAGACAGAACCCACACCAGAGCTGCTAGCTTGAAAATAGCTTTTCCTAACTGTATTGCCCAACATGAAAGCAATCACGCTTGTAAGGAGACAAGAGTCAATTGAAAGCAAGAAGACAGAAAAGCAAAGAATGGCTTATATCACACACTACGCCTCAAAGGTGAAAAATGCTTCATCCAGGATCTTCAAATCACTCAACACGCCTCTAGACCTGAATTCACTCGTTATTCCAACAGTTGCAAAGCTCATCAACAAGAAAATAAGCAATCTCAACTCCAAACCCCTAACTCTAGAATAATAATAAAAAAAAAAGAACTGCAAAATTCCACGCAAAAGGAGGTCGCACTCTAATGAAAGACGAGTAAAGGTTGGATGTAATCCACATTTACTCAGAAATAACCAAAAAAAAACGTAAAATATGTTGCAATAGGATTAAAGAACTACAAAAAAATCCAAAACTACTTAAGTTTTATTGTCAACATAAAACAAAGGAGTAAAAACTACGACTTGCACGAAAATAAGTGATCTCAAAATATATACAAGAAGTAACTATGAATTCGTAATCAATGTGAAAGAGGCAACCATCCGTGAAACGCTCCGCCGGTGCTTGTGCTACTCGATGCCCCATGCTTGATATGAAATTGGAGTTGGAGTTAAACGACACACCGTGCCGGCCATCGCGTGCATCCCTTTCGCCGCACCACCAGGCTGTGCGCTGGGCCGTGCCTCAGTCAGAGATTGCGTTCTCATCGGCACAGTCAGAGACCGGGGTCAAACGTGCACCTCGCAAAAATCCAACGCCCATCGCCCCCCTCCTCCCTCGCGCAGGGAGGAGGTAGTGGCCCGATCCGACTCGGGTGTGTGATCGCCGTTCTTCCCCCCCGTGCGGGAGCAACGCTCACTGCCACAGCAGCTGCCCCGAGTGTTCACTGGACCATCGATCGGGAGGGCGGCGCAAGACTTTTGTCCAGGCGCAGGTGCGCGTGGTGCGAATGTATGCAGCAGCCGGCAGGTAATGCCGATGTATGCAGCAGACCTCAGATAATGCGGGGGGTTTCTGGGAACTCACGACCGACACACTACTTCCAAATCATGAACGCACCCGTACCCAGTTTCCTCCGGTTTCGGCTTCCACTTTAGGCGGGGGCCGCGCGAACGCGAGCCCCCACTGCCACAAATTACGACGTGTATGCCCTCCGTAGAGAGATACTAGAGCCGCCCGCCCCGTCAGTGCAATGGGCCGGGCTCCTCTAGGCCATCCACCTTCCTGATCATGGATCGACCCCGCCCAGGTAAGTGCCCACTCCAGCGCTCCTCCGCACCCTTCTACCACCCACCCATACCTCGCCGCTCCAACCCGTGTGGGACATTCTCACCCACCCTCGCTCTCCTGCTCCCTCCGCCCCCCTCACCACGCCTTCACCTCCATTTCTCACTCCCTCTCCCTCCCTGCTACAACCAACATCTCACCTCAAAATCACTCCATTGCTCCCCGCCTCCCACAAACGCCATACCCGCACCATCGTACAACACTCGCTGGAAGCAGAAGCAGAACAAGCAGAAGAATAAAGGAACAACCCACCAAACAAACACGCAAATCAATCAATCGTTAAATAAAGAATGCTTTTTTCAAACCTTGCACTTGTTCACTCTTACAAATCCACTTTTGGAACAAAGCAAAAAGGCTCTCAATTCCAAATGCCATCCCATCCAACACATCCATGCCCCTAGACTCAAACATTTTCAACCCCCCTACCTATTTCAACGTTACATCATGTCAATTCTCATGCTATTCCACAGTTCTTGCACTGCGGCCTTCACATCTGCACTCCACAACCTACCCTTGCACTTACATTTTTTTTTAATTTTTTTTAATTTATTATATATATATATTATTTTATTTATCATTATTATAATCCATGTCTGAAAATTAAAAAAAAACATATACCAATAGGCAAATCAACAAAATAAGCAATATCTCCCATGATTGTTTTTTTTTTTTTTTTTTTTTTTTTTTTTTGTTTCGTTTAGGGTATAGGGCTGTTTTCCCTATTAATTGTATGTACGTATGTATGTATACACACTGTTATGACACTCACTCACATGAATACACCCTAGGTAACAAAATGCCACGTTTTCCCATGTTTTGGGATATTTTGTTTGACCATGAGTTTTCTGGGCTTTGATTAGACCTTATTTTTTACCGGATGGCAAAGGATTTTCTTTACCCGATTTATGGCATTGCCGAATTGAAGAATGTCTCGCAATGGACAACTGTGCAAGAATCGCTTCGGTGGAAAAGGTTCCATAGATTGTAGTTTGCGGAATGGAAGTGTGGGTTTGGTTTTTGAGATTTTTAGTTTTCGGTTATTTCTAAGTGTCCGTTTATTTTTTGGCTTTGGATATTTGAGTACAAGACGGATTGGCCACCATCCTCCGAGATCCCGTACTTGAGCTGGTGCCTGTGGTTTGTGTTTCATGGTTATATGTGAAACCAGAATTTTTTTTTCGTTGACTTAAACCTTATTTGAAGCTGCACCTGGGTTGCAGCCTATTTGAACTTATTGGGTACTTGTGGTTTGGATGCGCAAACTTCTGAATGCAGCGTGCTTCGGATCCACACCAGTGCCACTTGCTTAGTCTGTGGCATCCATGAATGTCATTCGGATTTACTGTGTCAGCATGTATACTGTGTAGTGTTTTTTGAAGGATCCACGATTTGATGCACGTCACGAATTGGGAGGTATGTAATTGTTCGTGCAGCACGGAATGTGTTTCACCGAATGAGTAATCTATTCTCTTTCTTCTCGTGTTGGGGTGGGACCAGTTTCTACTGTAAGATGCCTCCAGAACGTGTGCTCTTATTTTTGTATTATTCAGCTATTGATGGCCAACGTGGTTTCCTCTCTTGATGTGCTTGATTCTCTTGTTCCCCTCGCCTTGATTTATCACTTTTGAAGGTGTTTCCTATCGATGCGTCTGAATTGTGTATAGTGGATTCACTTAGCATGTGTTGATGCTGGTTGAATAATAGAGATATGTTTCAGCATTCAAACTGAGATACTTGACCTTTCTTCCTACAAGGCTGCATGTTCTAATTCCTGGATTATACTTGATCCATAATCTGATATGACCTGAACGGGCGTTGCAGTTGCATGCAGTTCTGCAACAAGGATCACATCCAGGTTTTTCTTACAACTCAGTCTGGAGAAAGCTGTCTGCACTTGGAAGCTGTTCAAAAAAGAGATGGATAGACGTGACCTAATAACCGAAGAAAATGAAGAGCCACTTCATACAGTGATTTGACAAACAAATTGTTGATTCTTTTTCTTTTTCTTTTCTTTTCCCATCTAAAGTCGATGGGTTAAATCTACGAGGTCAACGACGATACGATGTAGTTCCCTAGCTGCAAGAAATGATGGGGTAAGCTTCGCAGCATGTTCATTTACTTTTCGGAGATTTTACTTTGCTTCGATATCAGAGAATAAACTTTAAGATATGGCAAACCGTTCAACTAATGAACATCCTCGCCGATTCTGCAGACGAAACTATCATGGACATTGTGGGCGCCAGAACTGAGTTTTCTCGTGAACATAGTACTTTTTATATCGAAGTTGATTTGTAAATTATCAAGAATTTTGTATTTTAGTAATGCAAGCCAAGAGTGCATAAACAATATAAAGAACGACTTCTACTAGGCTTGAGTCTTAAAAAATCGATTTTCTATTCTGACACATGTAAAATCAAATGATTTGTTTCATACAGTAAAATGCAAGTGGCATATATTTCGCTATCAAATTACTACACCAGACACTTTCATTCTTTATCCAGCTGCTTTCGTATTTATTATTTTTATTGTGAATATTTTGTTGTGGTGCACTTTTACTTCTCGTTTTAACCTTTCTAGAAATCCAACACGCAACACGTGTGCCAAATAGTCAATTCAAGAAAAAATAAACAACCTTTTATCTTCCTTTCACATGATATCTGTGCTAAACTTCTAAAAAGTTTAATAAATATCCAAGCATGTCATTAAAAGTCAACTCCAAGCACACTTGCGGCGAACATGGAAAATGAAACATTATATATATATATAAATATATATAAATATATAAATAAATATATATGATGGATCTTTTACCTCATTATTCTGTGAATTTCATGAAGTGGCCCTGCGTCCCGCGTCAAAAATAGAAAAAATCTAAACAACTACCAACTTTCTAAGGAAAGCTGGCATGTTCGATCCTATCCGTCTGGTGGGTAAGAGGATATACTGCGAAGCAGAGGGTGTGGCAGAAACAACCCACGAATCCATTTCAAAACAGCTGAGATAACCTTGAAAGTTAATAAGAGAACAATGGATAAGAAGGAATTATAAAAAAATAAAAAATAAAAAATAAACACACATGAAACATCATAATCGTATATCGAACTTGATTTTTCTTTTCTTCTCCTTTTTTTTTTTTTTTTTTTTTTTTTTTTTTTTCTCCCTCTTCTTTTCTTTTCTTCTCCAGTCGTTTTCATTTACTCTAACTAGGAGGCCTCCTGCTTGTGGAGACAAAGACAACATTCTACATGACCATCATCTATCCGTCTAAAAATAAAAATATACAGTGCCTATGTTTCAGGGCAGAAAAGTGTGTGGGTAACTTTGAAGTTTTTTGTATAGTCGAAATACAGTATACACTAAGACTGTTGTGGACGAAAGTCGGCAAAAACATACTCTCTTCTGTACACACGTATACCCATTGCTAGCCAAGGTTATTGTCCCGAATGCAAGGAGAAAGATCTCCTCCTCAAAGAGGAACCCATTGAGCCATTGCTTCCTGTGAAGAAGTCACCAATGGCCGCCTCAAGCTCCTCCACCGTGTACTTAATATACTTGTCCGGATGCCTTCCTGTCTCGATGTGGTGCCCGTAACGACCCAGGAAGGCACGGTAAGCCGGCAGTAACTTGTCAGCAATGAAGATGCGTAACTCGTCCCGAAGGCCGGGATCCACTACCACCCACTGCGACTGCGCTTTGTGAGCCTCATCGAATATGTTGTTGAAATTCTTGAACCTGTCTTTAAGAGTCTGACGAGAAATGGACACCGATGAGACACCTTTGTTGCCTTGGTCCTTATGCAACCCTTCGTCCCTCAGGCAAGCCAAAACTTTGCCCCATGCAGCCCTTTGATAGCTGGCTGCATATTGCCTCACCATACCGACATGCCTCCTCACCCAAATGTCTCCGAGCAGCGCTCTGACCTCTGAACCTTTCACTTTTTGCACTACGTAGTGAATGTTGTTCATGAGGAATAGGTGCGTCAAAGCAAGGTCCTTGTACATCTTGGCTTTCCCGTCCAAGTTGTTCTGAAGGGCCCGAGCCAGGCGGCCTATCAAGCTTGCTAACGTTGAGCATTCATCCCTGCTGAATCTATCATCCCTCTTGTCCGGTGATAGAACAGATCTTTCTGAAGCCTCTGAATTATCCCTTTCAACATAGACCTGCTTCAACGTATCACTATACTCACACGCCAATTTGATATAGTTCATTACGTAGCGAGTAAGTGGATGGACTGCACCTCCCGTCACTGGCACCTTGGAACTGTGTCGTTGAATGGCATTCTCAAACTCTGAAATTGTCCCTCTTATCGCCTCTCCGAGGCGGAAAAGGATTCCACTCGCTTCAGACCTAACACTTAAACCAGATTTCCCAGAAAAAATAACCTCCAGTTCTGGAATAAGTTCTCGCAGTGTTTCATACATGTCGAGTACCTTGAACAGCTTCTCGGGTGACCTCCGGCCTATGGCGATGGCTTCCCCGAAACTGAGGAGGTGCATCATAGCAGATTTAGCAAAATCGTTGAAGCAGATGTCGTTCAGAGGAGGCGCAAAAACCTAAATCATATAGCAGCAGAATGAGAATATGAAACGATTTTTCACGTTAAATGCACATCAAGATAAAAAGAAGAAGAAAGAAGAAAGAAAAAACAAAAAAAACAAAAAAAACAAAAAAAACTAGCGTTTGAAATTGCACATAAACGTCAGCATGTAAGTTCTGTAAAAGACAGATGAATAGCAACTAAGCTGCAATTACGGCCTCAAAAGATGTACAATACTTTGTTCAACTAGCATGTGTAGAAAATTAAACTGCTGAAGAATTAGGACGGGCTTCAAAGTACGTCTGTACTATCTTACCACATTTTTTTAACCTAAGGGTTTTAAATGAATGAGATTTATTGGACAAGGTTATAGTTTGAGCTCGATAGAAATCCCTGTACTACGAAGGCAACGCTGTACGAAGCGTGACAAAGACTTAAGTCAGGAACTAGGTTACTAATGGTATGGATATCCAACAATCTACTGCCGAAAAGAAAAGAAAAGGGACGTGAGACAATCTGTCAGGATGCTCTTCAAACGAAAACGTAAATCTTGAGAACCCAACCAATCAGAATCACGCAGGCAATGAGAGGATACATCCGTTAGTAAAGGTCGAGGTTACACGAAAACTATCAAGACCAAAGTTATTAGATACTACCCGGACTAAACTGTCCACTCGAAGCAGTGAAGGAGATGGCACGAAATACAATCCACCGAAATCGCTCAGTGGACAGACTCACTGAAATGACAAGGTTCTACAGTGGGCATGCATTACAGGCCGAGACCTATCTATGACCTGTTCTAAAAAACGAGAAAAATCCAAGAGATGGACATCAGCTTGACAACGGACCCCTTATTTCTCTCGCCATACCCGAAGAAAAATAGATTCACAGACACAAGTAATTACTGTTCAATACTACCGATAAAAGGAATAGAAGCCATTAGAAGAAGGCCTGTAAAAGAACAATCAGTGTACCTGATCACACAGTTGCTTTTCGCTCGCAAACAGCATCGTCACTCCAATCTTCATAGCTTGATTCCAATTTTTGATCTTCTCCTCCTGCAGTTCCCAAGGCATCTTCTGCACCTCATCTATGCTCACCCTCTCCACCCCCAAGGCTAACAAATTGTTCTCCAGCACGACCTTCCGGGAGCTAATATAGACCTGCACACACTCCTTCTTAAACCCGCCGGCGATTAAGCGGGTAACAATGGCAATAACGTCTTCTGCCGCTTGATCCGGCATCAAAGCAACTGCCCTACTTTGGGATCTCTCCAACTGACCACCTCGAGGAGTGGCAATGTCCGGCTCCTCTTCATCATCGTCTTCTTCTGGAGGCACCCTCAACGAGGCTGCGGAAAAAGAACCCAGCAGTTCGTCAGAGTCCACGAACCCGGTGTACATTTCCAAAACATGACGCAGTTCTTCCTCCAATCTCTCCATGGCCAGCTGGAGCAGATACTGAGCTTCTTCAAGCAGCTTCGGATCACGGTTATGAATTTTCATATTCTCGAGTTCAGTCAAAACCGTATCAACGGCATTGAGATACTCCTGTATCTCTTTAACGTTACTCTCAAAAATCCACCTGTAACCTTCCCCCTCACATGCCCCATGTCCCATGTCCCAGTGATTAATGACCTGCCACACAGAATCCAACACAGAATTGGTCCCCTTCCTGGCCCTGAATCTTTCCCGAGGCCCTTGTGGCGAATCATAAAAATCCGGGTCCGAATCCTCCCCTTTTGGAGACTTCCCGGAAGTGGAAGCATCCGACCTCCGATCCAAATTCTTATCATTCATGTCCCTAAACCTGTGATCGAACTTGGTAAGCACAGATATCATATCATCCGTCATGGCATCCGACGTGCCTAGGGCTTTTATAATGTGCTGCGCTGTCAACAGCACACGAGCTTCCCCGTCGAGGACAGCCATTTCCTCTCCTTTCTTCTTCACCGTGTCCACTTCCTTCCCCAACAAGTCCCGTATCACATTCTCGCAAGAAACGACCAAAAGGTCATTCACTGCAATCGTCCCCCCACACAATATACCGCCTAAGGTCACAAGCTCCCTCTCTTCCCTAAATTCTAACCTCCACACTCATCCTTCACTTTCTCTCCTTCAAAACGCATTGGCTTACAAACAGCACTTCCTCCCCGCAATCCGCTTTTCTACGAACAACAACACAAGATCTCGGTCTGCGCAGCACGAACGCCCACAAAAACCTGGGCATCCTTGCCGACTGGATCCCTCGCTGGCTCTCAACCTCAGCACAAACCAACCAACCAATCCCCTGCTCCTACCTCTATCCCTCCACAAGATCTCTATCCAAACTCCACCCTCCGAAACCCCAAACCTCAACCACAATTGGCAAACCGCTCTCTGCAACTACGAGACCACTGACATCAGTGAAACACGTCACGCTCAACAAACAAAACCCAATCTCGCCATGCGGCGAAGAAGGCTCAAGTTCAGGACAAGTGGGTATGTCAGTTGCAGGGGCAGAGAGACGTGGTACAAAGGGATGGTGGGTGCTGCTAGAGCTGAGTGCAGCAGGAAGAAGATGAAGAGGCGGTGGTGGGAATGCCCAAGGTGAGTGAGAAGAAGAAGAAGAAGACGGCGAAGGACGAGGCGTATCGAAAAGCCTGAGCAGCAGGCCTTTCCATAGCGAGGGAGGGATAGGGCGAGGTGCAAAACAAGCAGCCAACACAACCCAACCCAACACACCACACTACACCACACTACACCACACCACACAACATAACAGCAGCTGTGGCGAACCCAAATGTGCAGTGGGAAAAGCAAGCAAGCACGCAAGCGCGCAGGTGGCAACGACGTCGCAAGCAGGGAAAGGCACGCAGGCACGCAGAAAAAGAAGAACCCAACAAAATTAATAATAATAATAATAAAAGAAGAAGAAGAAACAGCAACGGCGCTCCTCCTCCTCCTCCCCCTCCTTGCTGCACCACCACCACAGCTGGGCCTGGGCTGGACTGGGCTTAGCCGGGCCGGATGGGCTGGGCAGGTGGGGCAGAGGGGGCAGGGGGGTGTGTGTGCCCGAGTGGGTCCGAATATTTCCGGTTGACCGAGTTGTAAGTAACAACGTGGGCGGGGGGCACTTCTTCCTTCCCTCCACGTCACCCGAAGACTTACCCTCCCTCGCCATTCTAGGTTTCGCTCCGTCAACTCTCTCTCTCTCTCTGCTTTCCTTTACTTCTACTTTTCCCTCTATGGCGGGGGGGGGGGAGAATGAATGGGAGCTGGGTATGGAATGGAAGAATGGGGGTTTGTGTTGCTAGAAGGTGAAGGGAAGGAAGGAAGCATGGCTGTGTTGTTGTTAATGTTGTTGTTGTTGTTACTACAATGTGAAGTGAATTTTCCAATCTGGGGAATTGGGTGGTGGTAGTATTGTAGTAGAATTGTAGTAGTGGTATTGTCATATTCATAAATTTGATTGTTTCTTACTTACTGCATTCAGGAGTGCCAATCCTGTGAATAATGCCTTTTTTCTAGCATCCTCTGTGCCATGTTCATTCCTCTCTTATTTTATTGAATTTGAATTCGAAATGCAAAATGCAGAAGATTGATTGAATAAGACCATCATTATTGTATGTTGTTTTCATGGTTATCTAAGTTTTTCGTTGTTCATGTAGAAGGAGTTCAAACACATGACACTCCTTTAAGAACTATGTAGGAAAAATAAATAAAAAGGAAATATCCCAGTGCAGGAGGTAGCTATCTTTTAGTACGAAATTGAGTGCAATCATGCTTGAGAACGCTGTACATCATTAATTGGTTTTTAAACAAATCCTGACAATATGTTAGTGAGTGAAAGTGTACCACCATGTTTGTAGTTTTTACAATTTTACTTATATCATATACTATTTACACCTATTCAATCATTATGTTCTGTTGAAAAAATATTTTTTATATATAATTTATTGATTAAGGTCAATACATGTACATACAGCATTATTAATTTATGTTAATTTTTTGGACTATTATTATAACCGCAAAATACTGATATCAAATGTTACTTTCAGAAAATAAATACACAAATAAATAACTTCAAAAGTAATATATATATATTATATATATGACTTTGAAATGATCACAAACAGTCTTTGCGACACCCATTGCTCAAAGAAGGAAACTATGTTGAAATAAAATATATATTATGTAATGTCAATAAATAATAATAATAATAATAATAGTAATAATAATACTGATAATTGCAATAATAATGCGTCATCACTTTGAAATTTCACAAAAAATAAAAACAAACAAACAACTATTTATATAGAAAATTTTAGGATTCAAAAATGAATCTTGATAGTACGATTTTAAATGAACAAATAACATATCAAAATTTTCAGTTAGAATAGTTGTAGAAGACGTTCTCTAAAATGTAGATATTAGTGTTAAGTAATTCAATGTAATACACTACTGATAACAAATAATATTTTTTACACGTCAATATATTACAAGAAGAGGTATTGCATTATCTACGACATAAACATGGACGTTCTGCCATTTTTCAACTGTTGTCCGTCAAGAGCTGCTAGATTTTTAAAAAATTCAGTTCTTTATTGCAAAAGATACAGATGTTCTCAAATACTATTGCGCTCCACTCCAGAATTGCTGAAGTTATTAAGGATGGCAAAAAAAAAAAAAAAAAAAAAAAAAAAAAATGCGATCACAAAAATTTCATGCTGCATAGTGATTGTGGACTAATAATACTTAAAGTTTTTCCAAAATGGTAAATTTCCGGACATTATTCAGGAAGATTTAGATAAAACCTAGCTTGTGACTTTGAGAATTTCAACTATAGTAATGGAACCAGTTTAAATTTCACATAAGTTTGTGTAAAAATCTTTGTTAAAGGAATGATGTGTGTACAAAAAAGAAAAAAAAAAGAAAAAAAAGAAATAGAAAAGAAAAAACCTTCCTTAAAGTTAAATACATGATTTTTGTAATTTAAAAGAGTTTTTGATATGTTATATTTTAGAATGCAATGATTTATTATAATTTTTACCATGATATTAAATGACATTCTTTTTTTAAAGATAGATTGAATACTCTTGTAAGTAATAATAATTTTAAGAATAATAGAAGAGAAAAAAAAGTGAAACATAAAACTGAATTATTTGTATGTTTGTATATTTTTTACTTCAAAAGGAAACAATATTATATCAACCATGAAGGGGTTAGATTATATTTTTCCTTAAGCATGTAAAAGGAGTTGGCATTGGCTTCAAGAAAAAGAATTCATACCCACACTTATTTTTCAAAGTATTCGAAGGCCATCCATTACTAACTATCTCAACCACCACAAGAAATCTGTTTTTATGTGCATTACAACATAATTTATTGAATAGTCCACAAGAAGCTGTCCAAAATATCTATATATATATATATCAAAAACCATATTTGATATCAATTTAGAGAATAATAACACGTCTATAACTATCCACTTGAAAGCAAGTCATTTTTGTCAAGTCAAAGAGGACTGCACTGAAACCATAGCCTTCAACCAAGTTTGTGCAACCTAATGTAGATCCAAAATAAATCATATGTAATTTAATTATTGAGTGACAACAATGAGATTTTTAAACACTACAAGTGTTTGTGAAATTTTCCAGAGGATATATATATATATATATATATGTATATATATGTGCAAAGCTTAAGTAGATCAAGTAATTGAAAGCAGTACGTAGCAAGACAGAAGATACATATTAATACGAACATGATAATGGGTAAAAGAAAGAAAAAAATAACAAAACAAAAGATACATTTATCAAATTCGAACTTGTAAATTTAACCCATGTTACCCATGTAGATATATATGCAATGGTGAATCATATAACAAATCTCAACCTCTACGTATAACACATATATACAAATATACAAATATACATATATTTGACTACTTTAAAATAAAGAGAGCCACTTCAGATCTATCCCACCTCAAGCTATATCAACTGGGTAGCTTTCTAAAAGTGGGTTCAATCACACCTCCGGATGCCATTCATTTACTCACTGTAATGCTTTTCACCCATTTTGGGGCAGCCAGTTGTATCCAACAAAATCATGACACGTGGCAGAAATGACAGCAAAGGATAGGAACTCTGGGATCACAGAGTTCCCAACATTGGGAACACGGAGTCAAAGCACCATTGATGGAAGGGGGGATGTGGAATATGATACCGGGAGTCATGAATGAGAGTAGTAGTAGTAGTAGTACCTTCCTGGCCACGGTGGTGAGTGCCGGCGGTGACAGGGGGTCATCAATATCCTGCTGCCACACCGTCCGGGCATTCGGTGCCGAATATTAACCGCTTTCACACCCGCAGGGAGGGAGAGCATCGGTGTCCCAATATTTGCCCTGGAAAGGAAAAGGAAAATGAAGGGAAAGGAAAAGGAAAGACACGTTCCTTTTCTTTTTCTTTCCCGTCCCTCTGGTAGTTGAGGAATCTCGCGTAGGGATGCTTTTTGTTGCTCACTCTTCTTCTTCTTCTTCTTCGTTTATTTGTTTGTTTGTTTGTTGTTGTTGTTGGTGCTCCTGGGGAGCGCCATCACCTCGCCGAAGTCTTCTTCGCGTGCTCATTGTAAGTTCTTTGCTGGTGTCTTGTTGTTGAATTTCGGACAAGAGTTTTTTTTGTTGGTTTCGATTTGTGGGGCTGTCCGATGATGATGGTGCAGAAATTGCGGATCGCGATCATGGATCGGTGGATCTTGGAATTGTGTATTCGGTGAATGTTTGGCTGAGAGGTTGCTTGTTTCCGTAAGCTGGGTTGGTGCTTCAAACTCTTCTTTTACATCTTCAGTGTGGTGGAGTCTTGGTGAAACATGCGGTTTTTCTTTTGTTTGTTTGTTTGTTCTTTTTTATTGAAGTGGTGTGTTGGGGATTGGAGCTTGGCGATTTTGAATTTTTTGGTGGGACGCGCTTCGGTGACAATGGTGCTGCATTCCTTTAATTTGGGGTGAATTTTGTTGTTTTGAATCATTGTCTCCATAGGGGATTTCAGTCAGTAGGTTTTTGATGTGCACGTGCATGGAATTCCCTTAGAAGGAATTCCAGAGAGACAATCTTGTAATTGGGTTTGGGACTCTGTAATGAGGGTTAGCTCAATCTTTCTGAGGGATGGGGAATCGCGTCTTCTCGGATTTGTACTTGACTTTCCCTTCTGTTCAATTATGTACTTTGCTCAAATTATTGTTCTTAAAGAACACGTTTCCGACGAGAAGGATGCTGAAAGCGTGTTGCCAACGCAGTATCCTTCTTTTCCGTTTAGAAGCATTGTTGGTTCTTTTTATTAAAGCAGGGTGAACGCCACCGTTTACATTTGCCTACTCCGTGTGGTTCGACTCGTCCGCACCAGTGCAGTTTATTGCGATTTTAGGAGTTTGGCACTTCCCTTAGCAAATTGCAAGTAGGGTTTTAAAGCGTGGGTTTTTCACTTAGGGAGTACTTTAGTATTTTACCTTTCTTTTTCAACTTGATTCGATCTTGACGTTTCAGCGTCTGGACATGTGTGGGAGAATGTTTGTCTGATAGATTGCCTGAAGTGATATTTTCATTGTTTATAGATTGCAAGCACAAGCTTACGTTCTTGATGTGGTTTTCGTTGCGCATTATCTTGTCTGGCATCGTTGTTGATACGCGGTCGATGGTCACTGAGGTTTTATTTCTCCTAGATGGGTTTTATCGACATGAAGGTTAACCTTGGCTCATGTTTTTAATATGTCGCGGTTTATTTACTTATTTATTTTAACCTTCCCAATTTTATTATGTTTTCATTTATTTCGTTGTGTTCTATGTAACATACCACTGCATACTTAATGGGCTGTAAATTTTATATCTCATATCGCAAAATGGCCCATGTCTTTTTTTTTTGTTGATCAAGGTGCAGAAAAATCATTGTACCGGTATTTTCGGATTCCAGGCGATGATTGCAAGGAGACAGCAGCTGAGAATTACAAACCGTGGATGGTGAACAACGTTTCAGAAGATCCCTTTAGGATACCCTTCACCATCTGGACCATTATATGTGATTCCGTCATTCTATGAGTGGCCTGCCGCTGTGAAACTGCAATGCATATGGCTTTCCTTTCAGATAATCTGGTGCTGATCGCATCAGTGTGCTTGTTTACCGCCGTGTATTTTATTGGCTACCTCTTTGTAGTCCACAAGCTCTATAAGGGGCAGCTCCGTTACGATGCAGCTAGTTGTGGAATTTCTTTGATACATGGATCAGCAGTGGCGGTGCTGTCCTGCCATCAAATCTTTTCCCAGAAATGGGTGTTGGATGCCCCCAACACCCACATGCAGGACAAAATAATGGAGTATTCAATGGCATACTTCATTGTGGACTTGGTGAATTATGTTATCACTAATCCGGGTGATTATCTCTTTATCGGTCACCATGTCGCTACATTGACTTACATGATATCTTGTCGGTACTTCATAGAGCATGGGGCAATGTCTGTGATGTGCTTGATAGCAGCTGGCGAGATCACAAGTCCAATCCAAAACATCTGGACGCTATCTCGGATGGCGCGGGAGGATTCTCCAACAGCTAAGAAGATCTACACAAATCTGTCTCCCTTTTTCACACTGTTCTTCACTGTCGTCAGGGGAGGCTTCGGTCCTTACTTGACGTGGGTTCTTGGAAAGTTCTATTTGGGAGGCCATGCAGACAAGATCATGCCAAGATGGCTTGCCTGCTGTTGGATGTTCAAGATCGCATTTGCAATTTTCGGGAGCATGGTGTGGGTTTACAAGCTCTGGGTCGGTTTGATAAAGTTCTACTCCAAGAGAAGTACTTCGGACAGGAGAAAGTCTGAAGTCACTCTCCAGCAAAAGCAGGAATAAATGGTCTTTCTCAACTGGCTATACATCTAATCTGGATTGCTTTCCGGAGTTGTCGTCTCCTAGAGTCAAGGAAGATTCTTGGATACTTTAGAATTGTTAGTGGTGCTCGGTAGCATCTATTTAAAATGGCTCATGTAATGCATGCATTCTTGCAACATAGTCATTGGACTTGATTGTATTCTTGTATCTCTCTGCTCGGCCAGGTCTAGTCAGAGTTGTGTGTCACAATACTCTTCTTAGACCATGCAGTTGGTCACCTTGTCAATACTCACGGATGGGATTCAAACTCTCAGTCCTAGAGTAGGAGTATGTGTACCAGATTTGTAACGACTTTCCCTTGATCTCTTGATTAGGGTTTGCAACAATTTCCAAAATCCAATGCGGACTGCTTAGCACGCGTAGTGTAGAATTAAGTGGGGAAGTTGTACATTGAGTCAGGGTAGCAGGCTGGGGACACAGGCCATGCTCCAAGGTAGCTGCACCTGAAGTGGACTCTGAATCTTAACACGTTTGAATATACTCCAATCTTCCCGTTCAGATGCTGGTTTGAGAGAACTCACATTTCAAGTTTTTCATTTTAAGAAAATCCACTTAACATTGGAGTTTCCAATGTGTCTATTAAAAAACGCATGCCCTCTGCAGGGTGAAGCTCATGTCAGTTCAAAATTCCATTGGGTTGCAGCTTTGCCGCTCTTTTCATCGGGGACTTCGCCCACAATTAGAGGAATAGACAGACACTTTCGGCCCTTATTCCGTCCACCACCTTATTATTATACCATTTGTGACCGAGTAAGTTTACACGATTGGAAGAGACCATTTCGAAATCATGCATATAACAAGTCTCGATTTGCAGCAAAGGAGGCCGTTGCGGGCACGTAAGTCTGTTGCAGTGCAGAATTAACTAAGTCAGTCAACACAGTTTAGGATTCTATCAGATGTGCACTCTGAGTCATTGGTGAGCCTTGTGTTGCTTTCCTGTCTGGGTAGCGCCAACAATGAGCTCAAATCTTATAGGCTACAGGTAATTTGAATGGAGCCTCCTGTGCCTTTGTGCAACTTGGTCACCACTTTTCACCACTTGCTGAAGGTTGCTGCCATCTGTGGCGTTGAACTGTGTGTAATTGTGATATTATCGGATGCAATAATACTTTCTTTCATCTTCTGTATGTTGCTTTGTTCATCCAAAAGAACCATGATCTTTTCGAGATGCTCTGATTTACTTTTATATACATACATAGATACATACATTTATACAGATATCTCCGATTTTATATGTAGGATTTTCACTCTCACAAGTTGAAAAAGTAGTGGGTGGTCCTTTTGTATCATGCTGCTTAATGTCAAAAGGATGCAAGTGAACTTATTACATGAAAGATGCTATAACTTGCTTAAGAAGAACCCATGAGTTATCAAATTGATTGATGTTCCTTCGTGCAAAGTGAAGATGGAGTGTTCGAGTGCATTTTGTAATAGGTCTTTTGATTTGCTTTATTTTACCCCAACAAAAAAGAACTAAAATTTGTAAAAGAGAAGTGATAATAGTCCAGTAAATGTAATTGACGTTTCGTGCTTTTGGATTTTGATATTAGATAGATTTTTTTGTGTTATCTGAATAAATCAAAATCCACTATTTCAGAAAAAAGAAAAGAAAAAAGAAGAGAATAAAAAGAATTTTTTATTAAAGAAGTGGGTATTGGATATTGGTTTATGAAACATAAATGCTATAGTGATCCAAAGATAATTTTACCCAAAATAATTATTTTCATTCTGATATGGTGAAATAAATAACATAAAATGGATAGATTAGTCTGTACAGTTCAAATAATTTGCATGATTACATCGTACAACTATCCCAGTAAAATTAACAGTACTTTTTTTGCTTTAGATGACAAAATCGAAATTCACATGGTCCCTTTTCATACATTGTTCGTACATAGTAACTATATATTTAGAAATTATATATATATATATATATATATATATATGTAATGCCTAAATTGTATCATGAACTGTTTCATGTCTATGAAACACCACATTTACACCTCAGGGAACTGATTCAGCAGGTGTGATCTACCCATGACATTCCATTTTCACACGCCTTGTTTTTCTCACTATATCCCTGACAGATCAACTCTGGAGCTTTTCATCGATCTTTGTTAATTTCGGTGCAAAAGTCAGCGTAGAATTCTCACATTAGATGTGTGGGGGTTTCATTAATCGCAAAAACAATGCATTGCAAGCTCCTCTTACTCACCATTGTTGTGTAGATGCCGTGTCTTTGACTTGATCCAGACCTTTTGCTGCAATTTTTTTGAATATATATGGATGTGAGACTATGAACTTTTTTTACATGATGAGACTAACTTTTTAGAGTGTGAGCATGCAGCGACACCCAGAGTAAGTAAATGAGCATGATGTAATGTCACCGCCCTGGATAATAATTCTTTTCTGGTCAGATTCAACAGCATTAGAGACGGTGGAAGGAGACTCCATTCGTCTTGCTGAAATCTGTTTGTCTTAAGCCTACCGTAATCGAGCAGCTCTTGTAAGTAGAACCTTTCCATGTTGACAAAGGGCCAAACAGCGGGCCCATTCTGGCAGCCACTGCATGATATGCTACCGAGAGATATGTAAAATTATCAACAAACACTTAGTTTAGTCGGTGTGTAAACAGTAGCTTTCAGCGTTCGACCACAAACTGCTGAAACTGCGTTTCCTGTCCACAGCTTTAGACTCACTCGATTTTCCAGGACTCTGACTCAAACGATACTCTTGCCGTAGGAGCCCAAGTATTGATTGGGACACCATCTGTAGCTTCATATGCACCAAGGGGGCGAATTTCACACAAACGGACCATCTATAACAGCCACCAGTTTGTTATAATTTCCCTCTCATGTTCAAAAGCACGCACGACGCACATCAGTAGAAAGCTGGCAGATTGAAGAGGAGGGGCAGAAGGAACGTGATCAGAACCATCACCTTCATGTAGAAGTTTTGTTTGTCTGATAAAGCAAGGTGGATATCACCGTCAGTGGTAAGCAAGGTCCATTGGAATTTGGATTGTTTCTTAACATCAAATTGGTACGAATTCCCAATGCGCTTTACGCTGAGACGTGAGAAAAGCTGTGCAGAACCTAAAACAACGGCTTGTATTACTGCTCAATAGCATTAGGATTCAGCATGAGTCAGAGCTTAGACTTGAATAGTTGAACGCTTCGTAACATTCAAAAGTTGTAAAGTAAAACTTCGGAAAGTAGTGTGCCAGAGGATTAGAGGGCTACTCGTGATTGTATACTGAATTTCACTCTCGAAGGAAACAATATTTTCTGCCAGTTTTACGACATCAACTCATCAACGAGAGTAACATAATATAAAATCCTTGAGAATACTTTCGACTCGAATTGCCTGTTTTATATTGAAAAAAACAAAAACAAAAACAAGTCGATGTGTATGGATTCATGCAATATGAAGGAGCTCCATCCACTGGGCAAGGTTGCTAACTAAGAGGGTTCAGCACCTTCAGCACCCTTCACAGTGACTTCCAGGCATATAGTGTTGCTAGAATGTAGAAAAACGCGACATATATATATATATATATATATATATATACATACATGCATACACACACACACACACACACATGTGTGTGTAAGTCTTGTGTTTTAGAATTCCAAGGAAGCAACTCCTTCGTAATCCAGGAGCATCTACTCTCCTGATATTTGATCTCAGAAGCATTCTGCATCCTAGGGAAGGTTAGGTTCCGAAACCAGACGCACATTTAGTAAGCAACTTAGTGGCTCTTCGCATCATCTGCCAAACACTCAGATGGTTGCACCGAAACCATTGATGCCATGTGTCGAGAATGTGTGATCTAGATGTGCAACCTTACTGTTGAACCGAGCTCCTCTTCTACGTGGCATTGAGGAGATACACGAATGGCCGTTGGGCCCAGTTCCAGCTTTCTTTGACTTGAATTCTACGAAATTTTGGGCTCCTATAAAATAAGGTCTTGCATCACGCGGCGGAATGGGCAGTGTACAAATGAAGTACAATGCAGACGTCCACGGTGCAGTCGTTGTCACCATCACCGAAGACACGAGAAGTTTGAACAACCCAGGTCGTAGAAAAGGGAAAGCACATCACTATAAGCTCTCTTTGTGTGTACAGACTGCCCCAGATACTGCACTGGGGAGGCCATCAGCAAGTCCCCGACCAGCGACGTGGCGCTACACTCACATGCGACGCAGCAGCAATCGCGTGTAGAAGCATATCGAGGTCAACATCAAAACTAAAAAAGTTTCTACGCGATCAACTCAACTTCAAAGTGCACCAATCTATTCAATATCGAAGTACCGAATCAGATCGCGGGCGACTAACTCACATGCGCCGATCATCCCTGTTCTGACTACGACGCTGGTTGTCCTCGAGGACCTCGTTCTTCAGTAATGGATGGAGAGAAAGCCAGAGGCGACGACGGTGATGCTGTGCTGCGGTGACGCAGAGAAGGTGTTGCAGGACACACACACATACCCACGTCAATCGAATGCTTTCCGTGTTGTTGTGCACCTCACACCCACGCCGCCCTAGCCATTTTACCGCAGCACTCTGGCATTGTCTGTGTGTGTCTAATAATACATATACACACACAAGCACGTGTATATATATATATATATATATATATAATTCATGTCACTACAATTTTTGGAGTTGTGACTCTCCAAAATACCTTCTCATAATTAATAATTGCAATTGTGTAAGTGGTACTTTTATAAATCTTATTGCTTGTATTTCTCATTGATTGTTTAATATTAACAAAACTATTCTATATTTCAAAATAATAATTATAAAAGTACATAAAATATAAATATATATATATATATATATATATATAAAGTATAACACAACAAGAAATTACATAAAGTAGAGTTGAATATATATATATATATATATATATTTTCAATGAGAGTGCAAAGTAGGTTTGGTCTTGCTAGAGTACAATAAGATGGCTCTATGGATGTGCATCCAAACTTTCATTAATAAAGAAATGGTAGTTTAATTGGTTTTAATAGAATATTTCTGTAAAAATCCATATTTGCAGCAAAAAAGTCTTGTACCATAGATGAACAAGATTGAAAAATTAAAAATTAATTTTACAACTAAAAAAATATACATAATATTAGTGAATTGTAGTCCTAGCATTCATGAATGCTTTTTAAGATTTTGAATGTAACTCATGTTATGTTGTCTTGTATCTATAGTTTAGCCTTCGTGACAAGATAACGTTCTTCAAGAGACAATTCCTTATTAAGAGTCAATTCCATACTTCCACCTAATTCATCCATCACAACTTCAATTCTACTAAATGATAGATGTGAAAGAAATGACACCAATTTCATACCTCCAAAAAATTATTCTGAAGTGCCCATCAGGGAGACAACATTATTGTTAATGTACTTTATTATTTTGATGTTAGAACAAAAACCTTGAAAAAAAAGTTACAAGATTTCAAATACAATATTATATATATATATATATATATATATTTCCCTTCTTCTTCTTCTTCTTCTCCTGTTCTGAAGAACAAACAGTGTTTGGCAACAAGGTTAACTTTCATCAGTTTTGTTTCAACAATCTTGCACTCATAGGTTAACTCTCCTCAACGAGTCCTTGGAACTTGACAAACTAAATGTCATGTTTCAAAGTCACCTTCAAGAAAGCTCAAACTTAGTTTGGGGCACCATTCTGAAGCATGCCAGTTTAGGCCGGTACAAGGGACTCCTCCACTGTTAGAATATGATCTGTGGAACGCAGCTTTCAGTGAACATGCATTCCTGGCAGAGTTGGCTCACTTGTTTCGACAATTAGGTGAATCAGTTCTACATTCCACAACTGGGTGCTTAATAAACTGGAGTTAATCTGAATGGTGAAGAAACTCACACTTGGGTTTTCCTCATACTTTCTGTGATCATTCTTGAAGAGAAGCAGTCAAATAAGTTCTACAGAAGCAATCTGATACGGGTGAACCATAACCACTTGTCACATGATGCCTATGCTTCTTCCAAATGAGCTTGGAGATCTCTTGTTCTGACATCCCCTGCCCATATGCTTCAGCAAACATGTGCCTGTCCAGGACCAGATTGCGATGCTTTCCTGCTAACACCCTGTCTGACACTACCATCTTGTCCATATTCCCTACAAATGTTGCAATGTACGCATAAGCATGGAGTGAAACATACCAGTCAATAGCAGCTCTTCTGCTCCCTTTCAATGCCTTTAGACGATCGGCATGTAAGAAATCTGACTTCTGAAATAACTGGGTGTAGGTGGAGGCGAGCTTGTGAAGCTCAAGTAACCCTGATCCAGCAGCCAAGTAGATAGGTGTGGAAGCAGGGATGTTCAGAGCCTGGAGAATGAATGCTGTCTCTTGCGGAGTTAACGGGCACTTTCCTTTCTTTCTCCAAGACTTCTCATCTGCTACTCCAAATACCTGCCGAAACCCTCGGACCCTGTTTATGGAAGCCATGGATGCACTTGAGAGGTTGTAACGACAGCGGCTGTACGCAATCATGTCTGGCTCGAACCGGAGGTGGAGCACCACGAAAGGGTGGGGAAGTCTTTCAAGAAGAGTGTCTGCAGTTTCTTGCAAACGCCTCACAAGCCGGAGTGATCGAAAGCAAGCATGACATCGCGCTCTCTTTGCAGAATCAGGGTAACGGTCAGACCTCTGGCTGGCAGATGGCCGAAGAACAATGACTGTGTGCTGCAACAGCTTTGGCAGTAGCGATTCAACATAATCAAACGGGCTTGCCACTTTGTGACAATTGATGGCTACTGGTTGCCGCATAGACAAATTTGTGGGCAACTCCCGTAAAACATCCACCCAGCTATGGACACTTTCCAAAAAGAAATCAGCGTCAAATATGTCACCAAACCCGCTCGTATCATTCCAGTATGGAGAAGTTTCGAACCTCGGAAGTACGATAGTGGCGTTAAGCAACCGCGCAATTCCAATACCATTACATAAGTCTCGTCGCATTTGGTTCAAGCCCCCAGAGCATTCGATTATGATGTAACCATTCATCTTCCCCGCTTCAGCCATTCTAGGCTCTGCACTCTGCGTCCACCACAGGCACGGTTTCCATGACGTTTGTGGCACGTTCCTCCAGAGATTCAGACCTGAAAGGTGATGACGAGATGGCGAATCAAAGAAGTGGTTGTTCTGGGGCATGAGTTTCGTATAAACCTCCCACACCAAAATCGCCGCCATGCAAACTGATCCCAGTATTGCCTTCCCATGCTTGAGCTCTCGCATTCTTTAGAGCACTACAATTCAAAATCATTCTGGCTCAAGGGTTCGCTGTTGAAATAGTGCAACCCAAATGAAAGTCAGCTTGTACATGTTCACTGAACCCAGACCCCACCACCACTGAGGTATGCGTGCCTTGGGCAACAAAGAGACTGCCTATTGATCCGACGGGCTTTGTATCAATCCGTAATTTCAGGGACATGTAAGCCTTACATATTAACCTTGAGACAGACTGTCACTAATAATTCACGAATCGTGTAACGTAATGTTCTCATGATTGGTAGCTAAGATCTCCGAATCAACAAACACCACTTGCCAAGAATGTGAGAAAGAAAGTAAAATGGACTAGATCCTCGGTGTTTACAAACAAACCATGTTCCGTTCTACATCACGATAAAACCACTACGCATGAGGATTTTCAAACCAGCCCTACAAAGTGATCTAAACATGCAGCAAGGCAGGAAGACCATTAACAGCGCCATAAAATAAGAGAAAATGACACACGAAGGTGCTGGGCCTCGGCTTCGCTACATGCTGCAAAGCTTCTCGTATTACCTTCATTTAACTCGAAGGATCATATCCACAAGATAATTATGCAACATAAATGCTCACTACAGGCCTAATTCTTGTACAGCTGCAAACAAATTTGCTAGCTGAATCAACTAAATAAATTTAGGGTACTTTCACGCAAGACCTGCAGCTGTAGCAATAGCATGAGCCTGAACAAGTGTCAACGTTTGCTCTGCTATAGCACGGCATCGTACATTCCTTGCCCAATCTGAAATAAAACCTTCGGCTCTTGATCCTTTGACCCCTTGCTCGAGAATGTTGGCAGCTTGTGACAGCTCACCATTGGCAAGGCTCTCTTCTACTGCAGCAATAACAGATTCCACTCCTTCACGTCCACTACCTTCCTGAACCTGAAAATCCACATGTTGGCATTACATCCTGAGGGTTTGTATTACAAGAACCAGATACAAAATGATTGTCACAAAGATATAAGTAATAATCACCTTCATGGCTGCAGCGACAGATGCTACAGCAAGAGTCAAAAGTCCACCCTGACCATCAGGAATCAGAGACAATTGCCTCAAGGGACCTTGCAAGTTGGAAAACTGCAGTGAATATGACAAGGATAAAAAACGTCAGGTAACGGCATCAGCTCAAATTGACATGAGACTCAGGTGAGAGACTTCACATAAAATCAAGAGAACTGAAACACCACAATAGAAACTAGGACAACAAGGCTCTCTTATCGTCCTGACCCACTAAACTAACTCTATCAACCATAGAACTCAGCTACATGCTTAATCCTTATCTAAACATAGCGCTAAGTGCTTCGAATAACCCGTCCTACTGTTAGAATAATATTACAAGATCGTAAAATACCACATTCAACCCCATTCAAATATAACAAGTTTACCTCGCGTTCTAACTGGAGCAGGGTCTTTGTCCCTTTAGTAAGTGCATCCTCCGGTAAAGATTGGAGTGCAATGTTGATGAGCTCATCATATCCACCAGCTGCTTGCTTAATCAACGCTACCTCTTCTTCTAACGGTGCTCCCCTTGTCATTGCATCTTTAAAAGCAAATGCCCCCTGCATAAAATTAACATATAAATCAGTAATATGCCCCATGCATTCAAGAGGTTATTCAAGGATGAATCACTTCAAGTTGTGGTATTAGATTGTAAAAAACATAAGAAACCGTACCATTGCAAGCTTATGTGTGGTGTGGCTGACCCTCGCCCCTTCTGATTGTGCATTGTATGCCTTATGCAAAGCCTCAATCTGCCAATATGATCGAAAAATGTGAGAAACAACAAAAATTTACAACAGAAAATACTCAAATGCCCACTAAAAAACAAGCACACCTTTAACAACAATCCCAACCCCATATCCCCAAAAAAGAAAAAAGAAAAAAAGAACAGAAAAGAAAAGAAAAGAAAAACAACAATAACACAAAACAAAATAAAACAGAACTGATCAAGAGTCAATCCTCCAATATCCTATAATTGAATATTTATACGTTGATAATAAGATATTTCAGCGCAGGAATCATACAAGTTGACACAAATTTCACAACCTGTAAGTTCATACGTTCGACCTGGCCTATTACATGACATTCGGAAGATATAGGTGGGAGTAATCAATAAACAAGGACCTGAAGCTGCAGCTCCTTTGTGTCTTTCAACTGCATCGCCTTCTCCGATGCAACAGCAGCATTAACCCTAGCCTGCGTAATAAGTTCCAACGTTTCCAACTCTCTTTTTACTTCTTCGTCCTGCACATAAATATGACATCTATTACGAATTGTGTTGTGCTCAAACATCAGTGCTGAAAGTATATGCCTATATCGTTCAAAACCAAGATCCAGACTGTCAGGATTTTCAAAAACTAAAGAATTCAACAGTACACCTAAATCCTTAAAACAGGGTACATCTTAAGGAATCCAATTGTAGATTTTACCATGTCAACAAAAGAGAATATGATGTTTGAATTTGTATATGTGGCATATTAAATTCTACCAGAGCATGAAAAAAAAGTAACACGTTGAAACATCCGATCCACCAAATATAGATATCGATGGAAGCCTAACTGGTAACAGTGAAATCCAAGCTCGATCTACGGTTACCTACAATATTCTTAAAGTAAAAGGATACCTTGCGCTTTAGTTCATTTCGTAGCCTTTCTTCAGCAGCTTGCAACTGTTTTCTAGCTTCCTGTTCCCACCTCACTTTTTCTACGCTCAAGTCCTGTTGACGTTAACACAAGTGATCATGAGGAACACAAACAAATGAGTTTACTAACTTTTACGTAAATATTCTCAGACTTGGGATGTCCCACTTCGAATACTATTCGATGTTACGAAACAAGATTATATTTCTACAAAAGTCTCTGAAACTTCCAAAATATGTTGAAAAATCGAAACTATGTTACGGTGAACACGGAACATACCTTCTTAAGCTTGTTAGCATACTCAGCCTGCAATTCTTGCTGTTTGCGAGCCTCCCTAAGCTCTTGCTGATATTCTTCCTGCAAAAACATTGTCCACATTTCACTCATAAACGACATAGTTTATGCCTCCATGCAAATGGTGACGTACACTTTGTTACAAACGCATGAAGGTATAACATATGCTTAAGAAAATTTGCTAGAGTAAAACCAATTTGTAACCCTCTTATCAGCTTGAATTCAATTAACTCCATCACACCTACGAAAATCCAACGGTTCGATTGCTACGTTTAACGCATATATAATCAGAACCATCTCTCTCTCTCTAGGCGTGTTAAAGAATCTTAACTTACATCCAATCTTAACAACATCTCTCTAAACTGGGCATCAGCTTCAGCCTGCCTCCTTTCTGCTTCCTCAATTGCTCCTGCATAAGTAAAGGATTTATCTGATCCATATTCCTCACCATTTGGTTCTTCACTCTGCATACAAAAAAAATCGAAACAAAGAAGTATTGAAATCCGGATAAATTACTCCACAACAGCTCCATATATTCTGCGCCTAACTTTCCAACCACTTGTCAACTTCATCAACAAAGGAAACAACCCAGAAAAAAGGGGAAAGCTCTACAAAGCAACCTCTAACTTCTAGGTGAATCTTGCACAACACTACAGAACACCGAGTAGGGTTCTCCTGGAGTTCATCCTGCAATGTAGCCCATGAAGGTTAGCTCCAAGAACATACGCCATCTCCTTGATCTGGGATGTTGCCACTCGTTGCAACTAGCTATGTATGAGTAGGGAACCATCAAAAGTAGCACCTGCATACCTTGTCGTCATCTACTTTGATGAGTAACTGACGTACCTCTTTTACTTTCTCATCTGCTAGAGAGTATGCTTCAAGAAGCCCTGGAATAACTAGAACGTCAGGGACATCGGATATATCAGGCTGAAGTGATTTAATCGTAACATCTTGATTGGCTTCCAATCCCACCTGACATACACATTGTGAAACAACCAATCAAAGAAACGAAAGCATAGCAATAAAATTCACCCATCGCTTTCGTGACGTCATAACAATCCCAAAAACCTCCTCACCCCTAGCATTTCATGAGGAAATTTGCCACAACTCCAAGCAATTCATAATCGGGAAGCATGAAGACTCAAGTGGACATTAACTTGAAATCCCACTTTCAATTTACACAATACTTCACATTTACTTGTTCGAACACTTACCAGAATATTCTAAGGGAGCTCCTAATAACAAAATTAAAACAATACCTGAGCGCGCCCAGTCACAGCCTCAACAGTCTCTGCAACAACATTCCGAACATCATTCGCAGAAGCCACAGCATCTGCAGAGGAGATTGCCTCTTTTTCATTTTTATCGTCGCTTGTTTGGTTGTACAGCATCTTTTCAGAAAATTCCTTCAAATCTTCTCCCTTAGCCGTTTCCTGCATCTCTTTCCTGAAGGCATCAGGATCTAGGTCTTCTATGTTAGTATTAGCAAAAAGCTGCCCACTCGTATCAACCGGAATATCTGGCTGACCAGAAGATTCGTCAGGACGGGCAGTTTCAAGGTTTATATCGGCAGCAGTGTCATGAAGATGATGCCCGACCTCTTCCTTTACGTCAGTAACGACGTCGATTGAGAAGGCAGAGGGAAGAGGCAGTAACACATCTTCGCTAACCTCAATGGTAGAGTTACGAGGATGAGACTGCTCAACACCTTCCTTTAACTCGTGAGTAGCTATGTTTATAGAATTATCATCCCCAATATCAGCATTTGAACTCTCTTCAGTGGACTGTTGGGACCCTTGTGAGCCGTCATTCTCAAGAGACGTTTGAGGACTAGAATCAACATCCTCAATTTCCTTAATTTGAAACTCAGAGTCCACAATTCCATGGTTTTGGCGCTCAAGTTCCTCATTGACCTTTGGCAAATTAAGAGGTAACCCCTTGATCACCTGAAGCACATATTGTTGTAAGCACGAAGAAGACTACACATATGGTTTTCCCGCCCCTACCGCTCTCTTTGGTTCAAAAAAAAGAGAGAAAAAAAAAAAAAAAAAAAAAAAAAAAAGAAAAGAAGAAGAAGAAGGAAAACAGAGACAATCAAGAGGCCGGTCAATCAAAGGAAGTCGAAAGAGTAATCACCTGAAGCATAGCGTTAGATTCCTCAGGCACTTCAGACCTCACATTAGACTCTTCAGGCTTTATCTTTGTAGATGGCATCACCTCCGAATCTTTAACATCTGATTGATGATCAACAACAGGAGATTGTGGTGCCTGACTTTCTTTGGCAACTGATTCAAATGACGCTCCCTGCTTCTCCTCTTTGGTTGGCTGGGGCACGTACTTCGGCAGCTGCTCGGGATTCACGTCCAAAGTATAATGTGTAGCTGCCCATGTCAAAGCTGCTACGGTGATTGCCACTGCGGTGACCTTCACCCCAGTCCCGACTATCAAGTCACAGAAATATGTTAAAATCTCAGGACAATGCATTGGGAGTGGTGTAAAAGTCAAGAAACCTCGAAAGACATGAGTGTTTCGAAGTCATTTGAAAACACACTTCTCAAACTTCATCAAATTATTTTGTATATAGAACGGAAGAAGATTCATGTTCAACCTCAGTAATCTCACTCAGACTCAAGACGAAGACAGTATGAGCATGTCCAGCCCTGGAATTCTTCAGACTCTTAATTCTATAAGCATTTGCTCTACGCATTGAAAAGTAACAGAGCCTCTCAATTGAAAACATCCTCTCGGAAGGAAATATTACATACATCTTGATGCTTGTGGAGGAATGGGAGCATTATCGGTGTCAGTTGCAAATGTCCTGTGAGCAAAACTTGCTCCACGAGGTTTTCGATCCTGGAGCAAGCAAAACGAGAGTAAGATAACAGCTTCGAAACAAGTCTATTCGATTGAACGGCAGCTCGCTTTCGAAAGCAAATTTTTGACGCTCATAGAAACACTCTTCAAAAAGAATCAAATAAGTTTCTAAAATTACTCTCTCGAGTGATATTATTTATGGTGTTTAAAGGATGCCGGACTAAACGCAAAGCATCGATACTACATGTTAACTACCCTTTAAATGTGCGAGAAAGAAACAAAACAAAGGGGGGGGAATATTCCAGCATGTGGAAACCCCATCATCTGTCTCCAGATATAATTACAAATACAGTGGTCGATACATTTCTGCGCAGCACTTTTTCTTTTCAAGTCTCAAATATCGTTAACAAGGTACCTACAAGGTCGCTGTAATGTGCTCTAAATCCTGCTATACTGTCAAATACTTTAAAAAGAAATAGATTCCCAACTGTTGACAATGAGACGTCTGTTTGAAAATCATAGACAAAATCTAACTGCCCGCTTTTATCGAACGGCATGAACCATTAAAATACGCACCAGGATATGAGCACGAGGAAAACGTGGTGATGTGAAGTGCTCGCTAGTTCCAAAGTCGCGAAGACCATGATGACTTCCACAAGCCTGATACTTAAATTCCCTTTGACGATGCTTCAACCCAGAAGTCAAAGCTCGCAAGCCTCTCCGCCTGAGAAGGTTACTTGCAGCACTCATGACTACTCCCTCTTGCTAACCCACCCTTCGCATTACCTGCTCCCTTTAGTGAGCAAAACCTATGTTCTACTACCTCTGGAACTGCTACCAAGCCAAACAAGCTCAATGTTTAGATGTCGAGTAACCCCAGCAACTACCAATCCCTCACACCATGAGATGGTAACCTCGGTTCACAGCTTGAAATGCGTAATGCACCATCTCATCTCATTCCCTGTAGCTCTTGAATACTCGAAGACTTCACCGCTCAGATAATTCTGTGAGGGTCACGTGAAATCAGCGGAAGCATGTAAAGTAATGAAACAACAATACGAACAACCAAATCCAAAAACAGAAATGGTCGTTGCATCTATACAAGACTTAGAGAATAATTCAGTCCTCTCACTAATGATAAATAAGATAGCTTGTAAGAAAGTCAGAGACAGATCAGTTCGTCGAATTCATGATTTCTGAATATCCTTATTTCGATACGATTACGGCATTGACAAAACGGACATGTCAAATTTTCGCTGAACACATCGGTCGCCCTCAAATATCAGTGTCAAACTTCTGTTAAAGAAACACACTGGATCCCTGCCTAAAAGACTCATAGAAGAGTGCATCAAAGTTTAAGTAATTACCTATCTACACATTTCACCTAGACATTGAGCAGTCACGAAGCTAATTCTTCCCCATTCCAACTGATGAACAAACCCCAGATCCAACTCACCCCCCAAGACTCTTCTAGGTTAAACTGCAACGAATGTCTCTGTAATAGGCACGAAAATACCCCAGGGCACATTTCACAATAAGCAACTACTCAAACCCCGGAATCAAACACCAAGTCCCGATCGGTCGCGCCTGAGCATTGAAACATACACAAGCTGGCAAATTCAACATGAACTCCAGCAAGCAATTCCACTAACGAAAAAGATAAAGCTAATGAAAATTCGATGAATTGAATTTCCAGCCATCAGGAACTACACAACAAAAAAACCGATCGCTAACGCAAAGTCCCTGGCAACCCTTTTCCCGCGAACTAGCTTCTCCTGGCCGCTGTGTTTGCACGAACTTCACGAGGCACGAGTAAAGAAAAATTAGGAACTGAGGATCGAAACGTACCTGAGAAAGTGAGCGAGCGAGGGTAAGGTAGAGAAGAAGTTGGGAATTGCCTTCATGAGAGCAGGAGAAGGCCTGCGAAATCGCAAAAGCGAAGAACGACGAGAGCATATGCGAGGGAAGAGAGAGAGAGCTGTGGACCCCCGAACGAGGCAGAGCAACGACGACGAGTTGCCCTACCCCCAGCCCTAATTCTGGTCCACGTGTCACCCCTCGTCGGTGCTGGTCCCTCCCTCCCCTCCCTGGCACATTCGAGACTGTGAGTCCCTCTTTGGTTGGTTAAATGTACCCAACCAATTTTACCAACGCTTTGGAGGATGATTGCACAACACATCGCTACCTCCTACAAATAATGTCAACAACTAATACTACGAAATTAGAAACCAAAACTAAAAACTCACCAAGATAAGTTTAAGTTTCTTTTATTCATAAGATATTCTCTCAACATTATTTATATTTATTTCTATATATATATATATATATATTTATAACATTTGTATTTTATTGGACATTTATTTATTTTTATTTTTTTACTTTTATCCTGCTCAATAGTTTATGTGATACATGTCAAAGACATGAATCACAAAAAGCAAAGGATTAATATACTCTTGTGTTACTACAAAAGAATAAATAATTACTCAAAGATGGTATGATATTAAAAGTAGAATGACTATTATCAAAAATAAGAAGACTAGAGACTCTTGAAACAAGACTAAGAACAAAAAATGTATTAACAAGAAAAAGAAAAAGAAAAAACTTTATTTTTGTCTCCATATATACTATCTAATGAAGAAATAGGTTATGACGTTTTATAGAACCTTTGACATATGTCAAATTTGCAAAGCATTTGTCTAACTTTAAAGACAAGTTTCCTACATGTATGCTACTTGGCCAATTTGTACCACAAGTCACTAATATGTGCAATGAGTGGCCAAAATTTTAAACTATCAATTACTTGCAGAAAAGCATAAAGTCAAATCATGTCTATTAAGCTTTTAAAAAGCTTGTTCACAAGATATAATTTATTTACTTCTACTTACTTCCATTTACATCCTTTAATTTAGGCAAATATAAGTATCCATTATGTTTGTAACATTATCCCCCTTTCCCTCTTCTTTTCTCTATTTAAGGAAGAAATTCCACAAAAATCAATGATCATATTTTGATTCGTCATTTTGATTTTGATAGATGTCTTCAATAAAAAAGTATCAACCTCACTTGCTGTATTTGTAATATTCTTTGCTGGCTCTTATATACATTTATTTATATTATATTTGCACCAATATACAAGATATTGTAACATATTTCAATATTATCTTCAATCTAAAACTTCTTTTATTTCAAATTCTTGATTATTATCTACTTTTATATAAGGAAGTGGCATTTGTCTTCTTTTTAATATATCTACTATCTTATATGGCTTAAAAAGAGACATATAGTATATTACATGAATCTTTATAGATTTTGGTAGGTATAATTGATAAATAATAGAATCAATCCACTTACAAATAGAAAATGGTCCAAATCTACAATAAATCAATTTATCATAAATGTGACTAGTATTGATATTATAACAAAATAATCATACCTTATTGTTAATATAAAATTTAGATTGTTTATTGCAATAGATATTTGCATAGATTTTTTTTTTATCTTTATTTAATTATGTCTTTATTATTATATATAGCTCTAATAAAAAAAATTCCAAATCTCTTGAAACTTAATTATCAACTATTAAAAAGTCCAAAGTATCAAATTATAGATAATAACTATAATTAACAAAAAAGCTATTGAATAAAAAAATATATCAAATTATTATATGATAATTTTGCTAATGGCAAATGAATTGTTCAATCATCTTGATTTTAGTTGATAATATCTCTTAATAATCTATGACAGTTATAAATATTATTTTAAAAAAATTAAATTATTTCTTTACTTACGATAATTTTTGTATATAGTTGAAAATGTGCCAACTTGGTGATTCAATCTACTATTGTGAATATAAAATTATATAAATTTGAAATTATTAGATCCATGATAAAATCCATAAAAACAAAAGACCATAGTTATTCTAATATAATTAGTGGTTGAAAAAGCCCATAGGGCTAATGATGAAGAATTTTTGATCTAGAATAGATATTATATGATTTTACAAAGTCTTTAATTGTCTTTCACATAAGGCCATGGAAATTCTTTTAATATTAGTTCCAAGGTCTTGTTATATTGAAAATATCTTGCAGTTGAGAAGTTATAACAAACTTGAAAAGCATATAGTTGTGCTTTATCTTCTAGAATAATTAAATATCCCTAAAAATAGAAAAAAATTTCTTGAATTTAAACTTAGAAGTATTATAAAATTTTAAAAGTTTTTTTTTTTAATATCATGAATAAGAAGATGTATAAATATGTTTGATTAAACTTTCTTAAAAAATATTGAATCAAAAATCGATGCTGATTTTATAGCTTATAGATGAAATTATTTTAGTTTAAAAAGAATTATTTTTTGTTAAATAAAAATTATATATTTTTTCTTTTGGTATAAAATAAGATCTTTTAAAAAAAGCATTTGATAAACTTTATTGTTTTTATAATCAATAAGTGATCTTGAATTCAAATCTTGACAAAAATATATTCTAATCGATTTTGAAACAATTTAAAATACATGTTGATAGAAAATACTGAAGGTTCTTGTGATCCATATAAAGATACATTAGATTAGAAGCTTTTTTAAAACAATGATGTCATTCTTGAAATGAATCTTTAATTGCAAAAAAAACTTTAATGTGAATCTTATAATTGACGTTGGCCACTCAAAAATATTTTTAAATAAAATCTATTAAATGAAGTTTGACATCTACTTCCATTTGTGATAATATTGTAGCTAAAATAAAATCCAATATCTTAAAAAAGTCAACATGATAAAAAAATTGATGCATAAATAAATTTTTTCTTTAAAGCTTTAAATGCCACTTCAAATTCTTTTTTCTACTCAAGTTTATTTTTACAAGTTAAATGTATAAGTGGAATTGTAATTTAAAAAACAATCTAAATAAAAATATAATATTAAGTAAAAAATCTAAAAAACCATTGAATATTTTTTATTATTCTTGAATTTTTTAATTTATGATAGTTTGAACTTTCTAAAGATCCATCATAATATCATTATTTGAAATGATATATCCTAAGAAGTCAACTTGAATTGTATAAAATACACACTTTTTCATCTAGATATATAATATTGTATAATTAAGGTTTTATAATAAACAATGAACACGAACTTCATATTTTTTTGTATTTTTAGAATAAATTCATATTTTGTTTTATGTCATCAAAAAGAACTCTTTAAAAATATTATTCATCTAATGTTGAAAAGAAATTAGTGCATTTGTGAGTCAAAAAAAATGATATTATGTTTAAGTTATCCACACCTTGTCTAAAATGTAATCTTTTATTCATTACTTTCTTTGATATGTATCAAATTATAGGCTCCTTGTAGATTTATTTTTATATAAATCTTTGCTTGATGCAATTGATCAAAAAGTATTAAAATAAAAATTAGTGAATAATTATTTTTAAAAATGATGTTGTTGAATCTTTAATAATGTACTTACATTGGCAATGATCTATTATTTTTCTTTACAAATAAGATAGAAGATCCTACTACAAATTTTGAATGACATATAGAATTTTTGGCCAAGTTTTTATTTATATACTCCTTGAGTGCAACTAATTTTTTTTTGTAATAAATTATAGACTGGTTTATATAGTAGTTGGATTTTTACTTAAAAATCAAGTGAATAATCATAAAAATAATACTTTGAAAGAACATTTGTATTTTTCTTGTCAAAGATGTCTTCATAAGCTTTATACAGACTTGAGATGTTGCTTTAAGTCTTTGTACCATTAAAAATAAATGTAATATAAATAATAAAAAAATAATCTTTCTTTTATAGCATACATAACAACTCTTATAACTACTAATAAGGCCTTGGATGTATTAGACTTATAACTTTCTATGTCATTAATATAAATTTGGATTATACTATTGAAAAAATTAAGATTACCAAGGATTTGATTTATTTAAAGATTATATCTTTTTAGCCATAATAAACTTAAAATAATTAAAATAAAAATATTTAACTATATTAATTAATATTAAGCTATTGTGACCATTAGTTGCTATATTTAAATTAATAGATTCATGGATAACATCTCTTGAAGACAATAAATGACTATCTATGATTTCTACATGCATAAAATTAATTTACTTAAGTAAAGTTTTTTTTTTTTTTTTTTTTTTTTTTTTTTAATTTTTTAATAAAATATATGTCTATAAAATAAGTTGAAGCTCTTAAATCTAACATATTTTTTTTTTTGTAATATTTGGTCCTAAACGAAAAATTGTTGTAAATCAAAGTAAAGGATTTGAAGAAAAAATAAGACTTTTATTAAATATTGCATAATATTTTAGCTCCATAATTCTTATTATAAATAAACAAATTTTTTTTTCAATAAGTCATCTTTTTAAGCAATCGTGCTGCTTATTTTATAATTGCATTATTTTTTTTGAATAATATTAAATAGGATATTTAGATTCTTTATAATATGAGCACAATCTTTTTTAACAATGTTAATTTTTTTTTTCTTTGAGAAAGATTTTAAATATATTACATCAATTTGTATAGGTTCAAGTCTTGATGAATAAGTATATAAAAACTTATGAGTTGTTATCATGACTTGACTTGTTCTTTTTCAATCAAATTTTTGTTTTTAGCATATTTAAAAAAATCAATTATTGCATACAATGGCTTAAGCTATAAATTGTTCAAATGAATTTTTTTTTGGTATTTTCAATAATAAGTCTTTAAATCTATCTTTAATTTATATCAAAAATTAATGATGAGTACTTTATCATTTCAATCGACGTTCCAATTATGATTTTAAAATATTGCAACATATTTGGTATTTAAAGAAGAGTAATCGACAACCTCTGAGATCAAATAAAAAAATTCTACTACAAAATGTAGTCTATTTTTTTCATTTTTAAATCAAAGTTAAATATATATATATATATATATATATATATATATTAGTTTAAATATAGGAAGTTTTTAATATTTAAAGCATAACAAAAGAAGTGGAATAATCTACTCACTTC